GTATATATATATATATGTATATATATATATGTATATGTATATATATGTATATATATATATATATATATATATGTATATGTATAAGAACTCTAGAATAATAATAGGTTTTCTTTGGCAGTTTTTTCATCATTTTCCCAAAAATGAATAAAAAATCGTTACACTTGTCTTTTTCATATTTTGACTATGAAAAAAATGCTTTCCTTACTATGTTCATTATGTCATAATAGCATTCAAATTAATAACATTTAGTTTGCATTCACTTATTGTAAAATATTTTCAATTCTTCACATAAATTTCTTTTGTTCTTATAGTTGATCATTGTTCAACCTCAGTATCCAGCTTTTTTGGATCTAGCCATCAAGACATTCATTAAAATACTTCAAGATGGGGAAGTTCATTTTATTGCAGAAAACAGTATGCAGGTAATTATTTTTTAGTCAACTTGTATAAATACTATGAAAAATAATCTGTTTGAATTGTAAAATTTCATACACATAATTTTAGGATTTGGATCAATTAAAAAAAATTTATGAGAGACGTATTCTTTCCCAACATATTTGGCGATCCATCTGTTCACATTCACCAATTTTTTCCACTTAATATTGTATGTAAAAAATAAAAACAAAAAACAAAACAATTTTCAGCCTCTTTCATTGGAACAATTGACGAAAGTAATTTGGAAATTTGAAAATTTTCAGTGATGGCTCCTATAAAAATTAATAACTGAGCAGTATACTTTATGTTTGTCAAGAGCTATTGCATAAAAATGCACCAATTCTAAATTATTCAGTAATTGATTTTGCCAAGACTGGCTATTTTTTCAATGTTATGTTTAGCTTCTAGACACCCTACATCACAATCACCCAACTAGCTCTTTTTACAAATTCTCCCTCAGCAAAAGGTTTTCCACATTGAGAAATCATTGTTCTACTGTGAAACTTGCTTCAGTAGCAAATTCTTGAAATTGATTTTGCTGTGTAAATACACTTTGCTGATGGGTCAGTTTTACTATGAGATGCGACTTGTTTTGTTTTGCTTTCTTTGTTTAAATTTTGTGTGGGACTTGCATGTCTCTTTCAATGACTTCTCAAGTTGTATTATTTTGAAACACCTACACTTGAATTGCAAATAAGACAAACCGTTTTAATATTATGTAGAGTAAAAAACAAAGTTTTTCACTTCCATTCATTATTAAATATACGGCATTCAAGATAAATTTCTCACTTTCTGGAAGATATCCCTAAAGTAAAAAAATGTATAATATTATTGTAATAAAAATATAATCGCATTTGATGTAAATATCCAAACTGTATCACAATCGGTCAAAATCAGTCGAAATGGTATTTAATTAAGAGGCTGAGCTTGGAAAGGTTATATCACAAATAAAATAATTTTTTACAAACAGTGTGTACATTTTCAGTTATTGTCAGTTGCAGCTATTGTCTAGGCTTAAATAGTGTTTAGATTTCCAATAATAAGACACTTCCACTTCTGATTAGCCGAGATTTTAACTTCCATTGTTGTAAAGTGGTTATATATCATTGTTTATCTATAATGATTTAAAAGTATAACTTTTTTCATTTCCATAATGCATCTTGCAGAGAATATTAAAAATTCTATCACAGCCTGCTTAAATCTCATTACGTGGGCTGTTATGTTGGCTATTCTCTTCGTATAATTTTCACCAAAATGTGTATTCCTCAATTGACCTGACTGATGTTACTGACACCCGAATTTCAAATGGGTCTTAAATTTTTCTAAGAGAAGCCCCTAGGACATTATCGAAATTTTCTCAAAAATTAGCTTGAAAATTGATAGTGAAACAATGCGAAAATAGCATGTGTCCAATTTTTAAACAAATTCTCTGAACTTTCAGAAATTGTAAATGTGTGAAGTTTTTTCAACCTCTCCATTGTTGGCAATAAGAGACTTTTCCTAATGAAATCTGTATTTCTAATTTAGATCTTTAAACATTGTCGGGTATTTTTTTGAAAGTGATGAACTACTAATTTTGAATAAATTTATGTAAATTAGAATAAAATTGTGAAAATAAAATATGTACATAGTATTTTCATGTGAACTGCTCAGACTTTCGAAGCTTATTTTTTTGCTAAAATAGAACAAAGTTTGATTAGTAATATGCATGATCCAGATTTACCTCTAAAATTTCAAAAATTACAAATGTGCAATTTTTTTGGAACCTGACTCATATCTTCAATATTGAAACTAGAGAATTCTTTCTTAATGCAATCTATTCTTCAATATTAATTCTGTACATTATTTCAAGTACATTTTTTCCAAAATATTATTAGTTTTCATATAATTTTTAGGAAACGTGTGTCAATTTTCTACAAATATGTAAACAAGGGTTTCTCCAAACTGCGCAATTTTTAAGAAAAACGTTTAAAAACGTCAGTAAGGATAGAACGCAATTCACTGGTACTACAGTACAAGTGCCATTTTCATTAATGCTTTTCAATTGTCAAAAATTAAAGGGATGTGTTTGTTTCAAATGTCCCATAATTTGGTGAAGAATTTTCTCAAGAGATATCTGACGTTTTAGTTTCATACGAGTTAAAGAATTATACTGTTGCATAGTTGTTAAAATAATACAAGAAAGTATGAGCTGTCTTATGTCTCTTTTAATTTTATAAATATCCTCTAATATAAATGAACATATTATTTATTATTTTGAAAATATCTCTAAAACCTTATTTTTCTTGCAGCAAGTGCGAAAACTTATTCTGGAAATGATTCATCGTCTTCCAACAAATGATTATCTTCGACCTCATGCAAAATCCATTTTAGCATTAATGTTAAAATTATTAGGAACTGAGAATGAAGAAAATGTTTTAGTATGTTTGAGAATTATTATTGAACTTCATAAACAGTATAAACCGCAGTTTAACCCTGAGGTAGGTATATACAAATAATTTGAGAAAGTATTTTTGTCCTTGGTAGTAAGTATTAATATTAGATAATATAAGTTGTAATCAAGGTCTTTTGTGCTATTATCCTTTTCATTTTTATTTTTATGTTTGGGAAATTTTTGAATGTAAGAAGATATCAGTGGGAAATACATTTCTGCTGGTATATTGTGTCATTGCTACTTTTATTTTTACCGGGAGAGATGGCTCAGGGCATCATGGCTGATTCACTGCAGTCCCTCTGACTGGGAGGTCCTAGGTTTGAGTTCTGACAGTGACAGCGTGTCAACTGTGTCAAATTTAGTCAGTGTCTGGAGGAGAATTCTAGTGGACGGCTGCTCTGATCGGTAGTTTTCAATAGTTTCTGTGATCAACACAAAGCGAATGCCAGAGCAGTACCCTAATAAATGGGCCACAGACCGCACACAATCTTTCCTACCTCTTCCTTGTTCTATCCTTGCCCCTACTTACACACACACTAACATGCACTACAATACCACACATGCTGGGAGACCGGTCAGGAGCATAGAGCTTGTCCTGGCAGGGGCATTGCCCCACTGGTGGGAGGTACCTGGTTAGGGAAAATGCCGCTAGCCGACGGTAGTTTGGCACCGGATCACACCATCCAGAAGACTACCACCACCACCTCCCGACCAAAACCATTCACTTCACTTACCAGACTAATAACCTTGGTAGTTCAGACGCTCAGAATCACTAACATTTACTTGTCCTTTAAGTATTTTTCATATTGATATTTTATTTATTGGGAATTCTTGGAATGTGTGAAAAGAATGATAGAAATTTGAAGTAAGTAGAATTGATTGATTAATAGAAAATGTATTTCTGTTCGTGTATTCTATATTTGTTACTTTTCCTTTTTATCATTTTTGATATTGAAAAAAATAAATTCAGTTTGTTTTTTTGTGAAATCCAAAAATAATGTAAAGTGTGTATTAATTTTGAATAATTTTATATTTTAATTTTAGGATGCAACAGCCAAATACTAATTTCATATTGTTTTGTTAACTAGTAGTCATTATTATTACAACTATATTACAGAAACATTTCTTTATGTAATATTTTAGAAATTTAAATTTTTGTTATAATGCTATTTTGTGTCCTTGGCCATCTATTCAAAATGTTATTGTAAATTTTGTTTGTAGATCCCCAAATTCTTGAGTTTCGTGAAAAACATATATAGAGAATTGCCTAATCATATGCATAAAATATTGGAACGGCGACCAGCAATTAAAGTTAATGATATTTCTGATGTGAACATTAAAGCACTGTTGGGTGAAACATTCACAGTAACCCTAATTCAGAGGGAACGAAAAAGTGCTGAAGATGCTACAATTGTGGTAAGTTTTATTCTGTTATTTATTTTATTGTGTCGGTACTCTAGTGCCCAAGCCTTGAATGTACTCCCATAATGTGTATATTTATATTCCCTTCAAGATGAAAGAATTTTAAATTGCGATTCCTGTAATGAAACAGCTGTTCAGACCTTTATGCCTATTTTTTCACTCTCAAAGTGGGGGTTAAATTAATTTAGAATGCCTTATTCTATGGATGGGGGAAGGAGCAGGCAATGCGTGCATAAATCACACACAAATTACTCCTAGTATGTGAATTTAATTTAAATAACGAACAAGGAAATTAATCAGTTGACGTTAATAAATATTTAACAACTTTGTATGTGGTCTGCCTACACTATGATACAGTTCTGCATGAAATATGAAATAGACCCTTTTACATAGTCGTATTATGTTAGTGATTCTCTTTTTAAGGGGTTATTCTCCCTTTACTTCTTGGGCAACTTGTAGACACAGCCCTCACAGGTGAGAGCCTAGGAGCAGACTTCAGTCATATATCCATTCTCTCCTGTTCATAAGCACCCCTCCTCCTCAAAGCAGCAGTGAATTTTATTCATGTAAGTGCAAAGGGAAGGAAAGAAAGAAAAAAGTATGTAAAAAGAAGGAAAGAAAGAGAGGGAAAGAGTAAGAGAAGGGACAAGAATTGATGGAAGTTCAGCTACTGTAATCAGCGACTCATCATTTCCATCCTGCTGCTGCCACCGTTATTGCTGCCATGGGATGTTATCTTTCCTCACAACTTTAACTTAACAAACTAACGGCTCAAAACTTTAAGGTATCTTTCTCATGTCATATGCCGATATTCATTTACAGTTGTTAGAAGTAGAGAGAGCCTGCACATGAGATGCATTGTGGAAACGAAAGTGCACTGGGCAACAATTGCAGAAAGATGTTCAAAGGGTGACATTGGAGAGAAAGTTGAAGGGAAAAGGAGCAAACTCTTCTCGAAGAGGTGGTTATGGAAGAGTAGTCTTGGAATTTCTGAACAATGGTGAAGAATGTTTTATGAAATAGGCATTTACATGTAGTGACTTGTGTCAACTGATTCACTGATATGCAGTTTATACAAAATTATAAAATCTATGTAAATGACTAAACATTCTCAATAACAAAATAAAATAATAAAACTAGAATGAGGATGAATCAGTATTATAAAGTTTAAAACAAATATTTACTAATATATTGGTTATATCCTATTTGTTCCCTTTGGCTCACAACATGGATGGTGTAAATGCAGTTAAATTAGTAAATTGTGTGTACTTTTTGTTCGTGAATCCCCAATTATAAGAATTTTACTCGGATGACCACATACATTATTATTCCCAACATTTATTTAGAAAATTGTGAGATGTAATATTGACTCTTAACAACTGTCATTTGTAAATATGAAAGGGTTCATTTAAAGTTGTATCTTGTGTTGCTAATATGAGCATGTTTATGTCGGTATGATGTTCCCCAGATACCTTATGTGTTTCCTTTTTATTTTTTCAGTATAATTTAATTCCTAAAGCTACAACATCCCTTCAAGTACTTCAAGAATTGCCTGTTATTGTTGTTTTTATGTTTCAACTGTACAAAGATTATGTTCACCAAGATGTGGCAGAATTCATTCCACTCATAATGGCAACTATTACACTTCAACCTACTGCAGCCCAGAGGTAACTACAGAACAAATTATTCTTTCTGTGTATGAATTAGTATTGAAGGGGAAAATTATGTATTATATTAAATTAAGAATGTCTTATTAAATTAAATCCTTGCCAATAAGTTGGGAATTTTGTTTTGAAATGGAAGAGTTGAAGTGAAAAAACAATGATGAATAAACAATGTACAGTCGACTCTGGTTATAGAGAACTCGGATATAATGAACCCTCGGTTATAGTGAACTTAAGTCACTGGTCCTGTTTAACTTACATTACAATTAAGCATAAGAAGTTTCGGTTATGGTGGACCTGAACCTCGGTTATAGGAAATACAACAACTTGGAAATTAATTCCCTCCTAGAATAATATATTATCTCAGTGCCACAAATTCCAACACTAGGCACCTTGAAAGCAGTAGTGGTGAAAGGTCATAATCAAAGAAGTTTCCACTGAGGTGAACGTAATGGACCCGAAATGGGACATTACTGATGACCTCGTGCCATTCAGTATCAAGGTTGATATTACATGATTTGCAGGTCAAAGTGTGTTGTATTCTATATAGGCGACAGAAAGTGTGCGACTATCACAGCCCCATAGCCTTCTGTCACCCGCTGTGCCGCGTGAAAAAGCAATAGGTTTTATTAGCTGTTTGCAATTTGTTGCTACCAAAGGATCTTTTATGTTATTAGGTGAGTTAAATAGGTCTTCGAAGAGTGGGGCTACTAGCAGTGCACAAACATTGAAGGGTGCGAAGACTGCATTGCAGGACAATGCAGGATCAAGTATGCCAAGAGCATGAACTCTGGAGAAGGATCTAGAAATTAGTAATGAAAAATGTTCAAAGCAATTATTGATTTTATTGGACATGGAAATTATTGATTTTTTAAAGGACATATAAAGACTGAAATTCTCAGTTTGTTCTGTTAATGTATATCAACATATATTTAATAAAATCAATCATTGTTGAGAAATTCTATTTAGTTTTGACATCCTCGGATATAGTGAACCAAAAATGTTAGTCCCCAGAAGTTCACTATAACCGGAGTTGACTGTATGTACTCGCACAGTTTCTTTTATTGCATGTTAGTATGTATTTGAAAAGTTATGCGTGCCTTATATCCAACTCTTATTATGAATTATCAAATTATTCTTCAACTTCAGATGCAATACTTATTAGATTGATGTTTTCAGAGGAAATCCTAATTTTAACAAAGAAATATATGTGGACTTTGTTGGTGCTCAAATCAAGACCCTTTCTTTTCTTGCATACATTATAAAATATTATCAAGAAATAGTTACCCAGCATTCTACATACATGGTTAAAGGTGTGCTAGGATTGCTGACAGTGTGCCCTCCAGAAGTGACTCATCTTCGTAAGGAGTTATTGGTAGCTGCCCGCCATATTCTTTCGACTGAGCTGCACGTTAGTAAGTATTTAAGAGATCAACTGATGGGTTAGTTGTCAGCATACATTTCACATATAATGAAATCCAGACAGTTGTGATTATTATCACAAGAGTTTTGCAAACTTATATAGGCAAATATTAAAAAGGTTCTTATGAATATGATTTTTTTGCTAAAACATACATACTAATATTTTTTTCATTAGCAAATATTAATTTCTCGAATTTTCCTTACAGAATTTGTTCCTTACATGGAAAAGCTTTTTGATAAGAATGTGCTCTTGGGTAGAGGCTGGACAACTCATGAATCATTGAGACCTTTTGCATACAGTACCTTGGCAGAATTTGTACACCAAGTTCGTGACACTTTGCCTCTAAGTGACTTAACCAGAGCTGTTCACTTATTTGCCATGAATGTTCATGATGAGACCTTACCAACGAAGTAAGACGTGTTCACATTTCTTAGCGTTTGTGATGTAGAATGAAGAATTACTACCTAACATATTTTGTATTTTCGTAGTATTCAAACAATGTCCTGTAAACTCCTTGTAAATCTGGTTGATTGCATAAGTGAAAAGGAGAATGGAAGTGGAAGAGAATTACTTTTAAGAATGTTGGAAGTGTTTGTTTTAAAATTTAAAACAATTTCCAAAACGCAAATTCCATTCCTTCTTAGTAAATGGTAAGTAACTGAAGCTTATTATTCACTGTATCAGCAAAATGGGAACCAAGTTATACCTGTGTTTTCTGTTTTTAGTAAACAACCTCAGGCAGCTGTATTGAATGCTGCTGGAGCAGTAGCTCATCCTACAACTAGTATCTCAACCCTTCTGAAACTTGCAACAAATCCTGCCCAAGGCACTGCAGCTTCAGCTACCACTCCGAGTGCCACCGTCAATACTCCTTTCACACCCTTAATAAGCAGTCTTCCATCGATGCCAGGGACTTTACCATCAAGTGCTGGTTTACTAGGTACCACTGTTGGTATTACAGGACTAACTGCTGGTAGTACTTTACTTGCTAGTGCCAGTGGTGGACCAGCATCTGTTCAGCCTGGTCAAGGTATTGGCTCAAGTTACTATTTTAAAGGGTTGCATTTTCTTGATATATTTTATTCTTACTGTTTGATATTTATGTTGCAGGCAATGTTCCGAAAGAGGAAAAATCACGATTTGGATTTCCAGTTAGTCAGGCCAACACTTACAGTGTCACAGACTGTCGCAATATGGTTAAAACACTTGTGGGGGGTGTTAAAACCATCTCGTGGAGTTGTTGTGGTTGTAAGGTAAGTCTAGCATGAAGGTCTAATGAGCTGATAACTTCTTCAATCAAATTAATTATTTTTATTATGCAGGATTTTCTTAATACCCATTAGTTGTCAATTTTTTGTTCAGGGTCCAGGAGCTGACAGTCAAGGTCCAAGTAGAATATTCCAACCCAAGGAAGTCCGCCTCTTTATTCGACTAGTGAAGTGGGCGATGAAGGCATTTGACATTTATTCCCTTACTGTTAACCCTTTGATGCCTGGAGTTGTAGTTGCATCTCCTCCAAGAGCATCTAATGAGCCTGATGTTTTAAAACGGTTTGCAGCAGTAGTAAGTTCACGAACAATGAACTTTTAATTACGTAGATATAAGATGTTCCAGATATGAACAGTACATTTAATATATTATAGAGTTTTGGAGCAAATGAACATTAATTTGAACATTAAGAACATTGATATGTTTGTTTTTTTGTAGTTTACTAAAATGCATCCACAAAATTTTCAAGAAATTTTTCAACACTCAATTGAATATATTGTAAATTCCATAAGCAGAAATCTTGCACTCCAAGTATTAGCAAATTTCTTTTTGGAACCATTGGAACCTAATACATCAACTTCTCCAATTTTTGCCACTATTTTGTTGGAGTATTTGCTAGAACGAATGGATGAGATTGGCAATAACACTGAAAAAAGTAACTTATATTTGAAACTGTTCAAAATTGTGTTTGGAAATGTTGCTGAGTATCCTGTGGAAAATGAACACATGCTACGTCCGCATCTGCATAAAATTGTTAACAGGTATGTACCAGGTGGAAGTAGGTTTAGGTGTCCCATAATATCTTTTTATGTTTAATTTCTTTTAATGATAATTGTGAATGCATTCTGTCAATATGTTCTTTCATATTCTTTTATCTCATATGGTGAAGATCATGAGTGTGTGAATTTATAGTAAATTACTTTTTAGTATGTTGGTGTTAAGAAATTACTTAAAATGAAATTTATTTCAAAAGGTTTAATTATTCTGTTATTAACAATGGAAGAGCAAGAACGAAATAATATAATGTATTATGATTGATTATGAACCACCTTTCATTTCATAACGTTTGTAATACTACAGACATAAAATATTTTTGATACCTATCTATAAGTTATTCTACTCAATATTATTGTTAAGTCTACCATGTCATATTACTGCTACTGATTTCAAAATTAAATAAATTTGTTTCAGGTCTATGGAATTAGCAATGACTGCAAAAGACCCATACATATATTTCCTTTTATTGCGAGCTCTCTTTCACTCGATTGGTGGAGGCAAGCATGACCTCTTATATCAAGAATTCTTGCCTCTGTTACCAAACCTTTTGCAAGGTAACTATAAAGCTAATTATTATGGCCAATCTCACTTTCTTGTTGAGCATTGTGTTTTAGGAATGATTTACCATTTACTTATATTTGTATAATTTCAGATAATGAAGTATATTTTTTGCTTTATATTTGTATTTGTACTTTTACCAGTTATATCTAAAAAGCAAATGGTTATACAATGAGTTTAATGTTTCTAAGTGACTGAAATATTTGAGAGATAATTGAATATGTCACAGAAGATTGTAGTCTTAAGATCCTTTGATTAAATTTTTCTGCCATTAATATTATTTTCCATTGGTCCTGTTGAATTTTTTAGAATACGTTCCCTTCATGCCATTAACAACTTTACATGAACAGTCCTTCTCATAATTTACATATTTTGTAGGCGGGCAATATCGATTTTTGAATCAAATTTGGCAGGAGTCATTGCCTAGTGCATTTGCTTCATATTGTGATAACAGGTGATGGATTCCTGGAAATTAGGAAAGAGGGAGAGAGCATTCATTTCTATGGAAGAATTAAATGGAGATCTACATTGTATAGATTCACATGTGGGTTCAATTATCAAAGGACCTTTGATTCTTAAATTCTTCATTGAGTGCAATGTTAAAAACAGAGCACCCTTTAAATTTAAAGTAAAAACAGAGCTGTAATTCAAAAAAAAAAATAGAAATATTAATTATATACCATATTTACCCGAATATAAGACTAGTCATGTTTATATACCTTGAAATTTGGGGGAAAATACACACCAATATAAGACAACCCTTGTTATTATAACTTGATATCAGTTTCCAACGAGGTAATGAAATTGAAAAACACATCTATAGTACTTACATGTTTATTAACATTATGCATAAATTATTTTGGGCGTATCAATATTTTATACAATACATGAATTAAACTTCAATTTTATCACATCCACATTCTTCATTTAATCATCTTCACTTGTTTCATCATCACTCAACTCATGTCTATCATTCTCACTCCATAACACATCTTCTGTGCCATCCAGACTGTTTTTTACACTGTACCTTTTATTATGCATTGAGTTGATATAGTATTCCATGCATTTAGAATCCACTGACCAAGCTGTCCTACTAGGTTTTTTTGATGTTGCCGGAAGGCGTTAATGGGCAGTTTCCTGATAACAGCCACTCTTCATATTGGTGTCTGAGTTGGTGCTTGAAAGTTTTGTTCACAGTCACATCAAGGACTTGCAACTGTGAGGTCATGCCTCCTGGTATCACTACTAAATCTGTTTTTGCTTGCAACTTTCTTTTTCACTTCTTCTGTAAGGTGGCCCCTAAAGGCATCAAGGGTAAACAATCTTCTCTGCTGTAATAGGGCTCCCGGTCACTTGTCCCAAACTTCTTGAAGCCAAGAAATCATTAAGCTTTCAGTCATCCACCCAGATTCATTGCATCTAACAATTATTCCACTTGGTAGTTGTATTTTTTTGGGTAAATTCTTCCTTTTCAAGATAACAAATGGTGGTAGCTTCCTGCCATCTCCCAACACACCCAGCATGACCGTAACACACATTTTTTCATTTCCAGATGTCTTTGGAGGCATGTGGAAGTACACGGGGGTATCATCGGCATTCTCCATTTGACTCAACAAATGGTTGTGTTGATGGCGCAATTTTATAATGTACGTTTGGCAATCCAGAAGTTTTTCTTCATAATCTGCAGGCAGCTTTTGTGATAGGGAAGTTCTTCTACTCAGACTGAACTCTTTCCTTCTCATAAACTGTATGCACCAGCTGACATTCGCATTGAATTCCTGTCTGGAAATGTTTCTCCTTCTTGCTACTTCTAATACTTTTATGTGAATGTTGTTTATAGAAACTCCGTAACCCTTGTTACGATTTTCTTTTACAAATTAGACAACTTCAGCGTCGATTTCGGGATGGTGCCCCACTTGTGGTCCACGGAAGCATTTCCTTGTGGAATTACAAGATTTCAGGCATTCCTTCATACCTATCCAACGCCGTACATTTGTTTCACTTATTGCATAATGTTGTGCAGCTTCACTATTGTTCGTTTGTTCAGCGAGATGAATTACTCCCAATTTAAAGTTTGTGTTGTAACTATTACATCGTATTACGCCACATTTCTGGGAAGTTCTATACTTCCTCTTTTCTCCAGGTGATCGGCCACTGCCAAACTAATATATCAGCACACAGCTACACAACACAACCACCAAGCATGAACACGACTACCAAACGACTACTAAAGTCGCAGTACTCTACGACGCGGATGGGGAAGGAACGCTCATGGCCTACGAGTCTCTCTCTCTCTCGTTCGCCACGAGGAAGGCTTTGTCGACGTCACACCTATTGCAACACTGCTAACTGCCACTAGAAAAACTTAAATCCTATCTAACACTTCTGTGTAACTGCTGGGGAAATTATTCTACATCTTATTACTTTAATTATAAACACATCCAATAATAATAATAATAATAATAATAATAATAATAATAATAATAATAATAATAAAAATAATAATAAAAATAAAAATAATAATAAAAATAAAAATAATAATAAAAATAAAAATAATAATAAAAATAATAATAATAATAAAAATATTAAAAATAATAATAAAAATAATAAAAATAATAATAAAAATAATAAAAATAATAATAAAAATAATAATAAAAATAATAAAAGAGAGGAATTTCTATTACAAATGACTTTTCTTTCTGATGATAACTTGTACTACAGCAGGAACAACATAATACTGTTGATATTGCGATTTCTTCATGCGCAAGGCGAATAAGATGACCCCCAATTTTTAAAGGATGAAAACAGGAAAGAATCCTCCTCTTATATTCGGGTAAATACGGTATTTGACATTTTTTCCCCCATCCATCCCTTGAAAATTTGTAAAATGGTGTTTCATTCTGTATGTTGTGATAAATATTTTTTTAATTTAATTTGGAAATGTTAACTTATTATTTCTCAGGTTTAAATACTCTTCAGAGTGGGCTTCACAAACAACATATGAAGGATTTATTTGTTGAGTTATGTTTAACTGTACCTGTGCGGCTCAGTTCATTATTGCCATATCTATCTATGTTGATGGAACCTCTGGTTTCTGCCTTAAATGGGTCACGAACACTGAATTGCCAGGTAACTTCTTTCTTTTTGCTGATGAATAAACTAGTGTTGTCACATGCTTGCTCAAAGGATAAAATCCTCTGCGATACAGGGATAATTTATTGTTTGCCATATTTCACCTTTTTTTTTTAATTTTTGAACTTGAGATCGTGAACTTTGAACTTGAGTTATGTGAATGGAATCTATAGATCATAGTTTGTATATACAGCCTGTAGAAATAAATAAAAATTATCTATTACTTACTATTGTTGCATACTTCTTTTATTGCTGAATTCCAGGGGTTGCAAACATTGGAATTGTGTGTTAACAATCTCTCATTGGACCACTTTTATGAATACATTCAACCTGTTCGTGCAGAGCTGATGCAAGCTCTTTGGAGAATTGTTTCTAATCCATTAGATCAGCTATCTCATGTTGCCTTTAGGTAAGACAGAAAATTAGTTATTAATTTTCAGTGTTTATTTAATATGTACACATTGTTATTGAAGTGCACTATCTGGTCATAATGTACACAGTACATATTTGATTTTGAAACTTAACACATTAAAGATAGCATCTGACTGGAAAGACAAACTGAAAAAAACGTTTCCCATTCCCCCCTCCCCTCTGATTGTAATTACCATTTGTAAAAATATTATCTAAACTTCAAAATCTACATAATATTCTATTTCATTCAAACTATTTATTTCAGAACTATGATTTACAGGAAGCCTTCTCTATAAATTTCGAAATCATCAGCAATTGGAGGAATGGTAATTCTTTTTTTGAGGGGTAAGGGAGGGAGTATTGGACATTATTTCCATTTCAAACTTGAAAATATTGGATGATATTTTCTAACATTACACAAACAAAATAAATAAAATTGGGCATTAGCACAAATATTGTTTTATGATTAAGATTTTTTTAATTAATCAGTATGTATATATAATGAACTCATGCACTATATAAAAGTTCTTATTCTGACATTTGAATATTTTCAGAGTTCTTGGAAAATTTGGTGGAGGAAATAGAAAAATGATGACAGAACCTCAGAAACTAAATTATAGTACAAAATACTCACCTGGTCCTTGTATTCCTGTTTATTTTGTGGATCAACAAAAACCAATAGAGTTTCCTGTAGAAAAGGTAATTATTGTAAATAGCTATTAAAGATTAGCTTTGATGGTAATGTAACTTTTTATTGTTAATTATGAGAATTAGATGAATATTCTATTGTTTTTAGTTGCATGTGTAATAATGATAAATTTGGAGAAAATAGTCCAGGAGGTATTATTGACAGTTAATTTTTGAGGTTTATTAATGTGAATTAATAATTAATAAAATTACATGTTACAGTCAGTGTTTGAAGACTATGTTTTGTCTTATTTTCAAGGCTAAAAGAAACAATAAATGTATAATGTAAATATATTCAGTTAAAAAATAAACTGGAATAAAATGTCCAAAGTAAATACATAATGGATCATTGTATAAGTCTTGTAAGTATTGTTATAAAAGACAAGGACTAGGAACAATGAAACATGAAATTGTATCAAGTACATGTGAACACTTACCTCACATATGTTGGATGTAAATACATACACAATAAAATGTAACTTAGAATAGTCCATGTAGGAGAGTCATGTCAAAAAGAAACTAATACTAAAACATTTTCATTATGGGACAATATAAATGTAGGAACACCTGTACATATCCATGTTTGATATTGCCAATGTGGTGTAAACATGTGTATACACCAAATATAGTGACTGAAAATGGAATGTCACAATATTTGACTCCAAAGGATATTGATGTTTCATTTCATTCAAGCATCATCCCTGTCATCTATTAGTATAATTACAATGTACTATTGTCCAGGTTGTATAAATAAATAAACTGTCATGGATGTATTGTGCAACTCCATAGCTCAAATGGTTGGGGCATCTATCTGGTGGATGGAAAGTTCTCTGTTTGGTTCGCAATGTAGTCTGATATTGCATTCCATGGCAGTTTGTTTTCATTAACTGATGTGTCAAAAGCAAGCTAATTTCAGAGATGTGATGAATTGCACTTGCACATTATTAATATTTATAATTCGTAGAAAAAATTATTTTTAATCGAAGTGCAAATGTAATATGTAGCACACAGCCCACTTAATGGCCTGTTTCCTGACATCTTGATCTTGGATAACTCAAAAAAAGGATGTCTAGGGCCTTGAACCTGGTTTATGTATCCAATGTCCTCAAGTTATGTAATTGAATTGAATTGAATTGAAGCCTTATTTTACATGGCCAGACACAGGCCATGAGGCCTGCTCTTCCATCTGACAACATAAATTTTGGTACCCTCCTTTCACAAACTACTAGAGAATGGAGGTATTCCCTGGGCGACAAAACAGGCGATTTGATTTTTTGACAGAAAAACTCATATTGTGGGTCTCTAATATTGAAAAAGTGGATTTTTCTTGCTTCTGTATGTAATAAATTACCTCGTCTGAATTGTCTGAATCCACTGTGAGTGCTTGATACCAAAAAAGTGTGTTTTGGTATAATTTGATATGCGAGTAATGCTAGCACCTAAGCCATGCAGAGGATTTTTCGTCCAACTTTATATTCCTCGATCAATCTGACTGATATTGCAGCCTCGTGAATTTGAAACATATTTTAATTTTGGGGTATATTTTACAAGCCCCAACAACATTTTCAATTTTCCCAAAAATGGCTCCAAATTTTTCTTTCAACATTTTACTTGAAATATCAAAGTATGCTTATAAAACTATTATGCACAAGTTACAAATAATAAAAGAAAGTATGTGTTGTTGTAATGTTCATCATTTTTTTATCTGCATCCCAACTTTTGATCCCTAAATCTCACAATTTTTTTACAATGTGAACACTAATGTTAATTAACAGGAAAAATCGGAGTACATACTCTTTTGAGTATGTATGTGGGATCAGAATGTAGAGAGGCTAAACAAAATGGAAAAATAGGGATTTTGTTTTTCTTAAATATACAAACACAGATGATCAGACTTATTCGAATTGAAATGAATTGGTTTATACTTTTGCAGGTAATTGAAACAGCATACAATGCTCTAAAGACTAGCTCCACTGATCCTGAGTATCGGAAACAAAGTTGGGAAGTTATCCGTTGCTTTTTGATTGCATCTCTTGACCTCTCTGAAACTAAAAATGATATACAACAATTCTTCTCTCACCCAAGGTAAATTAGGCAATAGATGTAATAGTTTCTGTAATTGAATGCTATTTAAATTAGGTAGTAAACTTATAGTATTGATGAATGTTGGACCTGCACCAACACTTTTGTTTTAAAAGAATAAGTACAGTTGGAAATGTGTTTTATTTAATTTTATTTTTAGTTTTTCAGATGCAGCTGAGAAAATTGCACCAATTCAAGGAATTCCATATAAAATGCCAGATAAACAATCCCGCCAGACTCACCAAACAGCTGTTACTGGTAATGTAGCCATTGAAACATTTTGCAATGTGATTGTGTTGTGTAATTAAATTAAATACAGCAAGTGATTTGTGTTGCTGGGGTTAGTATGGGTTTCTTCAAAAAGTATCTGCCACAATATGTGCAGATGGTGCACAGAGAGCACTTTTAAGGATAAATCAGTGAATTCTTTGATTGTAGTTAATATTTGAGACTTTTCAGGAATAAAAAAAAATTAGAGATTGGAAAGAGTAATTGTATTGTAAGAGATAAAGGGAGTATTAAAGTTTAAGAATCAATCAACATGCTATCCACAAAATAGAATCACAAACCAGTTTTTATGCTGACCTGCTGTTTCTCTAAGGATTGATGCTGTTTTTCTTTATATTTAAGAATTGATTTGTTTTGCTTTATTTTTATTATCATTCATTGCTGTATTTTAATGTCAGTAAATGTAATGTTTTGAGTTTCTCATACTTGAAGTTTTCCATAACATACCCATCTTACAACATAGATGCGTGTCTATTAGAATCATTCGACCAAATTAAAGAACTAAGTAACTTTTTACTTCCAAAGTGAAATTTAATATACATGTTGACCAAGTTGTCAATGAAGCCAATCAAACGGTCAATTCTGTGAGGAGAACGACAGTGCATTTCAAAAACTTTAAGTCATTCAAAATTCTTTATTCTACTTCAATTAAGGCCTATCTTGATGTATTGCATGTCAAATATGGCCTACATCATATGTCATATGTACTAGTACGTACTTCTGTACTAGTATGTATTAATTGGGTATTGCCGGTGAAATAAACATTTTTTATAAAATATTAAATTTTTAAAAAAAATTCCAACAATCATCCATTTAAAATTACGTGACCCAGGAAGATAAAATAATTTACCAATATTTATTCTTGTCCAAGCTTTTTACACAATCACTTGTTTAAACTCTCTCTAATGAGCTAGACTCTATTCAATGAAGAAGAAAAATACAGTTGTTTAACACATTGATTCTTTTGGACATATCTGATACATGATCTTCATTTTACTGCTGTGTCCTATGGACATATATCATATGTCATTCTACATTTATTGTGTTTGGGAGGCAATAAACATCTTTTGGACATTCATAGGCATCTAGAATATCATTAAGATTGTCGCAAACACCACTGTGTGCATCTAATTTGTGCAAGTATTTGGAATTTTTCCAGGAAGCAATTGAATATTCATACTTGTGATCACTGTCGATTACATTCAGATTGTCTTTCTTTGTGAGTAGTGCTCGAGCTGTTAGCGACATATACAGAAGTTTAGAAGACATAGTTATGAAGTTTTTGAATAATGGATCAGAATTTGATTCTTCTGATGAGGATGTTGATTTATTTCCTGGGCAGTTGTCTAGTTTGAGCTTGAAAAATTATATCGAGGAGAGTAATAATGATGCAATTGGTGAGACTTCTCAAATTCAAGAGTTTTCATTTCCTTTAGAATGTTGTGAAATTGATAAACAATCTGAATTACCAGTGTTTGAGAAAACCAGTGAAATAAAATTTCCTGTAAATGAGGACTCAACTGAACTGGACTAGTTTTCATAATTTTTTTGCCACAGTATATTTCAAAAAATAAAGGCAGAAGTAAATAGATATACAAATGGAACTCTATCTGAACTTCAACCAAATATAATTGTAGTTAACCAGTATTGGTGAAACATGAAGTTCACTGCATTTCCTCCATTGTTTTGTAACATTGTTACTTTCTTCAAAAATATAAAATTGATGTGTTTCTTTAAAGTCCATTCTTAATCGTATAATTAAATGAATATAAAATACATGCAAACTTAAAGAGAAAAGACAATACTTCAAGATTTTATCTATTTCCAACTGATGTGTAAAATAGTTTTTGATTTAAGTTTTGAATAACAGCTATATTGCCCAGAAACACAGGAGTTAACCACGTGGCATATATCTCTCAGGATTGAATGTAATATAACAATTTCTTTTAATTTTTTTCCCCTTTATTTCAGTAATTAACAAGAATTTTCATTTTCAGCCATGTTTGTTGCTTTTACTATTAAGGAATTAACGAAGAATGTACTGCCTACCTTTGCATTTATAGTAAGTCACTACACAATGTTGGCAATTGCTCAACAAGCAGGTTAGTCTAATTGTTTTATTACTTTACTTGTTGGTTGTTCAATTGTTTGTATAGAATTGGTAGTTTTGTAGAGAATTAATGGTTTGAAATTAGTTATAAACATCATTGTACTACATACTTATGTACTTTTATTTATATACAGTCTACAGTTGTAGTGAGTACGAGTATAGTGAACCCTTCGTCATAGTGAAGTCACTGGTCCCGTTTCACTTACATTACAAATAAGCATAAGAAGATTCTGCTATAGTGAATCTGAACTTCTGTTATAATGAACCTTGGTTACAGTGTACCTCGATTATAGGAAATACGACAACCTGGAAATTCTTTTCCAAGAGGGAATTAATGTATCACGTGTGTGCAACAAATTCCAACACTAGGCAGCTTGAAAAAATATTGATTATAATCGAAGAAGTCTCCCCTGAGGTGAACGTAGCTGACTTGGAATAAGGACCTTACTGATGACCTCATGGCACTTAGTTCCAAGCTTGATAATTCGTGATATTCCGCCGGCTAGAGCGCGTTGCACTCTATGTAGGTGACAGGAAACACATGACAGCCTCTTGATACCTGCTATGCCACACGAAAAAGCAATCAGTTTCATTAGCTGTTTGCACCTTGCCGCTCCCAAAAAGATCTTGTATGCTTTTAGACGAGTAAAAAGACCTTCAAAGAGGGGCTTCCAACAGTCCACGAGGCATTGAAGAGTGCTAAGTCTTCATTACAATACTTCCAGACAGTGGACAATGCAGGATCAAGTTTGTTGACTGCGCAAACTCTGGAGAAGATTCTAGAGAAATTAGTAATGAAAAATAAACAAAGTAAATAATAGAAAATTATTTATTTTTTAAAGGACAAATAAACATATTGAAATCTTCAGTTCGTAATGTTAATGTATTTTCTGTATATGTATATATAATGATAAAATCAATAATTGTGGAGAAATTCTATGTAATTTTGACAATCTCGGGTATAGTAAATAGATATATAACGAACCAAAAATATTAGTCCCGCGAACATATGGTAGTTACTTAGACAGTATACCAATAAATTGTATCTTGAAAATGCATAACATCACATGCAATAGTACTACGTATAATTGTCCTACAATAGAAAGAGTACTACTAACCAAATATCTAGGTGTACATATAGACTACAACTTAAAATGAGATCTACACTTATTAAAGATATCTTCAAAGTTACACTCTCTTATATTCATTTTCTACAAATTGTCAAAAATTTTCAATACAAAACATTTGCTTATGATGTATTAAGTGTTATTTTGGTCGATAGCCATATACAGTATAATTGTTTGGGGAGGTGCCTACAAAAATGCATTTAAACCTCTACAAATGATCCAGAAAAAGATTGTGAAAATATTTTTTTTTATCCTCTGCTGAATTGTTTCGGGAATATAACATTTCTGTTAGAAACTAGAAAAATCAGTCCTATATAAGGTTAACTATCTGCATGATATGTATGAAAACCTACAAAATGTGAAAAGAGTACCAATAATTATACTGCTGCCAGTTAACAAAGAGATTGATAAACATCATTACGAGCAAGTTGCATATAAAGTATTCAACCTGTTAAGTTGCGTACAAAAGAGACTAAGTATGAACTCTAGAAGGGATAAAAGACTGTTAAGACAATAGTTCATAAAACCTGCAAGACTTCAAAAATATCCTAAACTAATTTATACATATGGTTATAATTGAACCATCTAGTTCTTTTTCTGTAGATTTCTGTACCGTACTTGAACTCACCTTACACACAGTCTTTAATTACGATCTGACTTTATATAATTTAATTTAAGTTATTCATTGTTATTTTAAACGTAAAATTTGTTACTTATCATTCACTCTATATTTTTAATTTGATACTTTTTATACATTCTTTATTTAAAAAGTAATACTATTTTAGAAGAATATTGTAAATTCTGTGTTGTCAGGTTTCTCGTACAGGACTATGTCCGCAGCGAGATACAAAATTATATGTATATTTTGCATGTATGTTTTGTATTTTCTTAAGTCTGAATAATGTATTGTATTGTATAGAAGTTCACTATAATCAGTCGACTGTATTTATATATGCCTGCTGATTGACAATACAGTGACAAAATTGTTTTTATTTATGTGTGTTTTCATAGTAAATACATGTATCACATTATTAGTTAACAGTTGATATGCATTACTTCCAGTAAATATTTATCATAGGTAATACCACGAGTGCTTTGGAAATTGTCGATAAATTCTGGACTTGTGAAACTAGGAGGAGATTTATCTGAGAATTTACGAAACATGAGAAGTATTTAATAGGAATATTCCACAAATTAAATTACGTCCAGCAAAGTTCCAGAATGCGTCAACTATTGAAAATAAGTGAAAGCCATATTAAAATAAAATAGATTATGTTATAGTACATACGTGGTTTATTGGACATCGACATAGCAATCGATGTACAATACTACCTCCTAAGATAGACGAGTCACAGTTTATGATTGGCCAGTAGGAAGATCCGGTAAGAAAAATCAGATAGAAAAAGCAATAAACTTTTTGAGATACACCGCTCTGATTGGGGCATTTTGTATCTATAGTTAAACACTATTGGTTTTAATTTCACGAGTGGAATACTTATAGGAAAGCTCACTGGGATTGGTGGAAGAAAATCATGGTGTATTGGTAGAGGAATAGCTAGGTTGGTTGATATAAATTACATAGAGGTACCAATAAGGACATTCGTCATCTTTGATTGCCAAATTTCATTGTCATTACTAGTCTCTTTAAGCTCAGGCTTATTTTTGTAACATTAAACACAATTTCATACACTTCAGAAAATAATGAAGAAGTGTTAAGAATATAAGTTAAGCTCTGAAGTTAAAATGTGCTCGAAATCTCAATTTTTCTTCTCACTTAATATTTAGTAATAATGTTTGTATCCTTTAATGTATAATTACTTACAGTGGGAAAGCAAGCCAACCAGCATGGTATGGATGCTTTGGTACTTATTGATGCACTGGCTGTAATTATGGGACATGAAGAAAAGGAACTTTGCAAATCAGGTCATTTAGCAATGATGTTTCTCCTCAAAACTGCTTCAAATATTCTGGGATCAGAGGAGAGGGTAAGTGCTTAATTAAGTCTATGTGAGGGTTTATTGTTTTCTACTTCACTCTTGTACTTTAATTTTGAAAAGTTTCTGTTACATGTTCATTGACAGTGTACAGTATTAATTTATTTCATTTCTCAGGACATCTAGAGTTGAGATTTGTAAAATCATAAGCCCATGCTAATGCTGTTAACAAATATTTGGAACCAAATTTTAAACTCCCAGCTTCTTTTTATTCCTTGTTCTAAACTGTTGTAATTATTATAAATCCTGTGACTTACCTTATTTACCCGAATATAAGGCGAGTTTTTTCGGAAAATTTTCTGTCGAAAAATGCGGGGTCTTCTTATATTTGCAGATTAAGCATAGTCGGTTGGGATTTAAGTTTTTACAATGCCATTCCATATCACGAAATTCCTAAATGTTGACGTAACAAAAAAACTGCGAAGACGATAAAGATAAAAATTTCGCGCGTAACAATACGTAATTATATTGGCGTTCGTATTCTCGACATCCACCGGGAATTTTTTTGAGCAATGCAGACCCACGTTCTTCAATGTGCCGGTAAAGAGAATCTCTAACCGAATGGCATTGTATGAAATGAAACGTACGTGAAAATTAATGCCGAGAGTTTCTTACACGATGCGGGTTCGAGGAGGCTGCGCGGAATCTCGAATCTGCGTTTTGAACAGAAACAGAGGCCACCAACAAGTGCGGGATGGATATAAAATCTGGCGACAGCAGGGAATGTTCTTAGATGGTGTCTGATGGAAGACTATGAACAACGCAAAGGGCCTAAAAAGTTAGAAAATATCGTAGCATGGAAGGAAGATCAAAAAGAAAGAAACATTAATACATGTGAAGATGATGAGGGTAGTGACAAAACCATGATTATCATGATATTAAGGAACAAGAAAATAATAGTTCAGCTATAAGTGTTAATGTTCTCATCAACAAGGCAATTTTCTAGTCAATAAGACATTTTGTAATTTTATTTTGACTAAAAAGTAAGAATTAGGTAATTAAAATTCTCAAGAGGCCTCTTCAAAATTAGGGGTTTGTATTTGGGTAAATATGGTAAATTCCACGAAGAAAAAAAAAAGATAAAAATGGGGATGCTTTTGAAGACATGTCTGTAGTCATGAAAACCTTTTTATGAGTTTAAAAGAGCAAACCTTTTATTAGTTATAGACAAGACAATTTTCTGTCGTATGAACAATATCTTCACAAGAAGTGTGAACAAAATTGTTTCATTAGCTCTAGTAATTTTTTACATCACATTTCTTTGTACACAACTAGTCGGCACAACCACCTACTCATAACTGCCAACTCATTGACCCATGGTGCCCTCACAATGACATGAGCACATAATTATATTTCAAAAATTATAACTTTCAATTATTGGCAACATTGAAACTTATTGAGAATACTTCTTTGGTTCTCATACTTTTCTTGGATTAGTACGTTTTTTTAACTAAATTGTATGTTGTATTGTGAAGCATTTACCTTTGGTTGCAAATTTCATGGAAAAATATTTTTTGTGTGTTCTGTTTTTCAAAACCTGATTTTGTGTCAACAGTATATGTTCCTGCCTCTGAAAAAATGTGACTATCACTTTTATAGGGGATAATTTCAAAATTAAAGTTGTTAGAACAGAATCAAATGTTAAGAGGAAGTTGGTAGTCAAATATTTTATTTGCATATTCAATTTCCTCTATCAAAAACTTTTTAGGGTATAGGATTGCTTGTTAAAATATTTTCTTCACTTTAAAAAACTGTCAATTTATTCCAGGCTTGTAGACTGCTTATAATGGAGTATTTAGCAGAACGGATGTGTTCTCTGTGCTACGACAGTGCATGGTATGCAAAGCTTGGTGGTTGTATTGCAATAAAATTTATGTTTGAACGTATGCCATTGAGATGGGTATTTGAACATTTGTTTCTTTTCTTGAAATCACTACTATTTGTTATGATGGATCTTACTGGAGAAGTAAGTTATGTCAATAATTACATTATTAATATTTTAACATGATTAATATTATTTTTCAAATGATCCCAATATTGCTTATATCCTATCATAGATATGTTTGCTTGTATTGTGAAGTATTGATTATTTCACCTTTGTTAAGGTATCGGGTGGTGCTATTGATATGGCAAAAACAAATTTAAAAAGATTACTATCTCTGTGTGCTGCTCCAATTGACAGAGATAAGTCAAATGAATCCTTGTATAATGTTCAGCAGAAATGTTTATATGAAGTAACTTATGAGTTAATGCGGCGTGTGACAAGTCCAAATACTCTTCTGCGAGAGCAGGTAAGTAGCGTTATGTTTGGAGAGCAAAAGCTGCCGATTAATTCATAGAAAATTGTCATATTACTTGTATTACTTGTTTTGTTTTTTTAGGCAAAACAGTCTTTGGAGGTTCTAGCAGAGATTCAAGGGAAGACTGTCACGGAAATAATGGAACCTCATAAAGCCATTCTTCAAGACATGATACCACCAGTAAAACATCTTTTATGTCATCAACCAGCTAATGTTCAAATAGGGATTATGGATGGAAATACCTTTTGTACAACTTTAGAACCTCGTCTCTTCACCATCAGTAAGATATCTTTTGTAGATTCAGTGTTGCCAAAAATTTTGTCTGTACATAAAAAAAATATGACAATACAGAAATAAATGAAGGTTTACTTGAACTACCCAGTAAATTTTAATTTTCAAGTGTGTTGTATGTATATGTTTGTTAGAATTTTTACTTAATGTTTATGTTATTTGCAACAGTTTATAAACTTTATGGACTGCTTAAAGTACTTCTTCATATCAAGGCATAGTAGGATGATTTTCAATTTAATTTTTCGTTATTTTTTCTTCTAGATTTGGCAATTGCAAAACATGAAAGTTTTTTTAATGAATTGAAGTCATTGTGTGAAGCAGAAGATGCTGCTTTAAAGAGACTGTCATGTTACAAAGCCATTCCCAGTCTTATCCCTTTGCGGAAAGCAGCATATCGTGTATTAGCGGCTTGCCACTACATTGAGAGTCGCCGTGAACAAATTTTTAATGTTTTATATGGTGCTTTGGAAAAGAACAATCCAGAAATTCAAGAAGCTGGTTTAGAATGTATGAAAAAGTTTATATCTGGTTTTCAGATTGACATGGCAATGGTGAGTGATACCACAAATTATTCTGTGAAGCTTCTGAAAAGTTTTGCACACTTAATACACCCAGATATCTTTACTGCAATAGACATGCATGCCCAAGTAGTAGTATTTATTTATTTATCTTATATAACAGGCAATCACCCAATTTACAGTATTTCAATATATATACATAATATTTATTACATTAGCTCATAGCATATTATAATAACATTTGTTTTGACAAATTAATCAATTCATTTTGACTAACCATATTTAAATCAACAATCATTTTTAATTTTATTTACTAGCCTAGACACATGCCAAACATTAATTGTCGCTGTAGGGGTGTAAAATAGAATGTTAGTAAATCTAAAATTCCGTGTAGGGATTTTCCATGAAACAATAGATAGTAAATATGGACAGGCAACATTATTATGTAAAAGGTTATATAAAAACAATATGCTGTTAAGGTTTCAATAATATGACAAAGAAAAAAATCTTCAAAATTTCAGCAATTTGCGAATGGTTATGAGATATTCTGGGTGAGGGGGGGGGGTTAGTTTCCAACCCACAAAAGTAAAAAAATTGTGTTGAATTGATTTGATTTTAACTATGTGTATAGCATAAAAAGAAGACCACACAGGACAAACAAAGCAAAATTTGACTAGTAAGTGTGAAATGTAGAATTTCAAATAATTTGGGTTTAGAGAACTCTGCCTTATTAGGTTTCACAAATCCCAGCATATGTAAAGCCTTATGTGTTATAAGATCAATATTTATTTATTTATACAAATTGCAACAGAAAACAGAAATGGTTACAATCAAGATATTTATCAAGTTTCAGTTAGTTTGCAGCAAAGTAAATGTTAATGATTTATAATCTAAAATCACAGAAGCGAGAATATAGTCTTTTAAATTTGGAGACAGTGCTGGCTGAGATAAGCTCTTGTGGAAGGCTATTCCAGTAATTAACTATGTGGCTTGCAAGGATGTTTTTGTAGTTGACGCATTTGAATTTAGCCTCCTTTAGCTGCATGTGCCCTCTGAGGTTGCGGGCAGTGGCATATGTGTAGAAGTGAAACAATTCCAGAGCATCGTAGAGGCCATGAAGTCTTTTGTAGGTTTCGATGATGTCAGCTCAGTCTGTACTAAACAATAAAGGTGATATGTCTAGTTCACATAGCCGTTCTTCGTAAGAAAATTTTTTCTAAGAGGTTGTAGAGGTTTTGTGGCTCTACATTGGACCCCCTCATATCCTTCTTGATGTAAGGATTCCAAAAGCTAGAGCCATATTCCAGTATTAGTTAAACATGCATAGTGTATAGTGTTTTTAGAGAATACTTGCTGAGGTCTCGAAAAACCTTGCGTACTGAACATAGTGCTTTGTTAGCATTATACTATATAGTTCCTATGAGCTTCCCATTTTAGGTCATCCTATATTATAATCCCCAGATTTGTGACCCACGATGATGACTGGTGGCTATTAATGTATGATTTGGCTATATGATGCTATGTGATATGGCTATTAATGATGTACTGGTGACTATCTAGGTGTAATATTGTTCATTTGGACTCATTGGACAGAGAGCAAGTTGGTGGTTGTGGATATGTTTGGGACATGTTGTTCTGGTGGTTTGAGACCTTTGTGCTGGGCAAAATCTGTGCGTTTATTTACAATAAGGCGCTCCATGGCTAGAGACCGGAAAAGGTTTTAGTATGAAATGTCAAAATATATACATAAATATAATATGTAATATTAAAATACACCCACTATAAAACATTTACTTAATACAAAATTACACTTGTAAAATAATTTCTAAACAAACATGTTAAAAATCATTTGAAGCGCACAAGTTTGTCCATAGTTTGCACCATACAATTTTCCTGTCAATTGTAAAAGTTTCACTTATTGCTATACAGAACCGTAGTTTAGAAGCAAGATTAGGCGCAGTTTAAAGAAAACATTTTGAGTCGTTTTGGGGAAAATCTTGTTTTTGTATTTTTTTCAAATTGCACATATTGCTTGCAATATTGCGCCAAAACTACTTAATATTTTAAAAAATGTACATGACCTTAATGAAAGAACTCGCAATGGAGAACAAATTTTATTTGAAGGAAAAATCTATCTTCAATTTTGTATCTGTAAGAAGACGCCTGAAAAATTGTGAAATTTTGGACAATTCAGAGTTAAACCTAAAAATCTGACCTATGCCACCTGTATAAGTATATTTTACTCTATTCTTGCAAGAAATTTAAAGAAAAAATTTGGAGTCGTTTTTGAGAAAACTTTGAAAATGTCCGGAGGGCTTCATATAAAGTACCCCCCAAATTTTAAAGAATTTGTTTGGAAATCTCAGATTCGACTCGAGCCTGATCGACATGGGTTTCTGCAATTTGGGAAAAATCCTACGCATAGTTTAGGCTCTAGTAGTTTTCACAGACACCAGATGCACAGACGAACGTTAAAAAACAACAACAAACAAACAAACACTTTTTCGGTACACTTGAAAACGTATATTTCCGTTTAAATCTCGAATTCGATTTTCGTAGCATTACATAACTTTTCCTATGCTACGTATATCATTCCGTATGTACGTACTTATATGGTAAAATGTAATATTGATGTCAGGTTAACAATACAGTGTTTTTAAAACATACACAGATTCAAAATATTTTGCAAAAAGGTCTAGAATTCTTTTGCCTGAACTCGCAACCGTGACATCAGTGTTGTTATTATGTTTGGTAATCCCATTACTCCTCTCTTACTATTTACATATTTCCGTAAGGATGTAGTCTCATAACTCACAGAATTTTCCATATCAAGTATTGTGTATGATTATTATTGTATTGTGACCTTCAAGGCCGTGTTACTTTACCTGACCTGCCGGCTTGCTCAGATGGCAATGGATCTCCTGCAATTGAAGTGAGATGGCTGGACGTCGTTGTTTATGAATGAAAGATGTTATTGAATGAGGTAAAATTTAAAGTTAAAATAAAATGGGCATCGATCTCAACAGTAGTCGAAAGACCCGAGAAGCTACTGTAAAATTCACGTCGTGAGACAGTTGTGTGATTCAGTGAACAAATCGCAATTGTCTGCATTCGCTTGTTCCTCCTGTTAGCCAGTTGATGCGCATAGTGAAGCTACATTTACGTCTAGAAGCAAAACAAGGGGCCATCTCAGCATTTGCTCACTGGGTCAGGAAAACTGGACAAAAACCTGATCGAGATGGGGGTCATTGACCTGGAAGCTGAAGTACATTATTTGTTACAAATATATTAAGTTTTTTAAAAAAATGTATACAATACAAATGTAAACTAATTCATTATATATCACTGTTTTGCTAAAATAAACGTTATTTTTCTTTTTGATAATCAGTATGGTTTCTAATTGTATAGAAACAGTTATGTAGTTTCTTGCTCACTTAGGTTTTGCGAACTACAATGCTACAGGAAAAAAATTGTCGAACTTCGGGTACATGTCTGCCCCATTACAACATGCATTCAAATGCTCCATAATTTTCCCACAAAGCACAATATGTCCTCAATCTTTACAATCGAATTTGTATCCCTAGCATTCCACTCCCGGACTTTGGCCCAAAGCCATTGTCACATGTTACCACCCAATCTTGAACAGTGGCTGTAAGCTATTAGAGAAAATGACTCTTGTCTGCTCTGGCTCCTGAATCAAAGAAACCTCTAATCATCCATCCAGTGTGGCTTCAGAAGATATAGATCAACCTCGAACCATCTAGTCACCCAGCTACACAACATTGGTGGCTCCCGTGTCCGACTGTGGAGGGCAACACAACATTAATATCGAAATACAATATTCAACTAGCCTGATATGATCAATTTTTGTATATTATTTCAATTTTCCTATTTTTTGCTCACGCAAATACTTTCATCACTTGAAAGTTGATGACTCAACTGCCATTTTTTAGCTTACCAGCATTGCTAATGCTCTTAAGTCTCTCATTGTATTTCATAGAAATGTTTTGAACTTCTTGAGAATGGTGACCTGGTGGAGGCACTCATCTCAGTGTACTCATGAGTGTGCTCATGGGGATTGTTACAGTCATTTTTAAAAGATTTTTCTCTGAGATTGTGATAGATGTATGTAAGATGTTCATAATGAAATCTTTTCTTCATTTGTTTTTCAAAATAAGTGCATTAAAATATTCTATGTACAATTTTTAGTACACTATGAGTTACAATATGAGTAGTTTTCATGTTATTTTGAGTGAAATCACAACAATTTACAAAATTCCTGCAATATATAAATGTAAGTATTATATGTAAACAAATATTATACATATAATATATTAATGTATTGTATATATTTAATACTAGCATAATACCTGTGTTCCACCTGCAAAAATATTTGCCCAGGCTGGGATTCAAACACTTAGGTTTTGCAAGCTAGAAACTTATCCACATGCTTGATGGACTCAAACAATGATCCTACTGCATAAAAAAGAAAGTTGAATTTTTGCAATTATCGAAATCTCAGAGGGTTTAATGAAAGTTGAATACATGCAATTTTAGCGATTAATTTAGCGATAATTATAAAAAAATTTTGGAGCTCCTTTTGAGAAATAGAAAATCATGGTTCGAATCCCAGACTGAATAAATAGTCATGCAAGTTGAAAACACTAGTATTCTAATATTATGTAACTATGAAAAATAATGTGAGAAAGAATGTGCTGTTGCAACAGTATTTGTTTTTCATTCTCAGGACTTAAGTGCTTGGGATTGTTTAGAGAAAGTGTTAATAGTAGTAAATCTGTATACTAAGAGTGTGTAATCAGAGAACTAGGCCTATGTATCATTACTAAAATAAAATTCATAGCATCCTGTTTGTCTTTTGTAGGTTCATGCTGTAATGAGGCCACTTCTGTGTACTCTGGGAGATTATAGAAATCTTACTCTGAATGGAACCAAGAGACTGTCTTACCTGACTATGCTTTTTCCTGCCAGCTTTAAAGAAGTGTTTTTGGAACAGTTACTCCAGCATCTAATTAAGCTATTAGAAATATCAATTGTTTCACATAAAACAAGTCAGCAAGGTAAGGATGAAAATCTCTCGAGACACTTTCTGAGAAAATATCCTCCTCAAAATATTAATGTATTAAAGTATTATTTTGTTAAATCAGCACATATGTATTCTATTTTAATATATCAAAATTAAAATTGGGATAAGAATAATCCTTTAATTTCTTTCTTTGTGAAAATGTTGATTTGTAAGAGAGGAGAAAATGTATGTTAATTTAACCAAGGGACTACTTTTATCTTTTGAACAGTGTATTTCTTTTGCTTCTTATTTTGCTTGTATTCCTTTTCTACTCTTTCTGAGAGTAGTTCAATTTATTGTCCTCTTCTATTTTGTATATTTTTCAGTCGGTTTACGATATGGTGAAAATGAAAAGAAAATAGAAACGATTATTTCAATATTTTATCATCTGCCTTCAATAAGTGGTAAATTTTTGGAATCTGTTTGTCGACTAGTCTTGCAAACAGAGAAGAGATTGATGATTGAGACTAGTTCTCCTTTTCGTGAGCCACTGATGAAGTATTTGCTGAAATTTCCTCAGGAAACTGTTGATTTGTTCTTGAATGATAACAACGTCAAGGTAAGCTGACTTACTTCACCTTTCTTTGCTTTTGCTACCATTTTTCTTGTCATTTTTTCTCTTAATTTTTTAATTTTAATTCTTTGGCATTCTGGTGTGTCTGGCAGACAGTGATCTGCCCTCCTTATTTTCCTTTTAATTTGTGTTTTGTGTTGGGGCTTTTCCCCCTTTAAACAATGTTTTAAGGAGTCATATTGGAGCCATTGTTTACACATATTGTGTCCTTTAATACTGAATAGGATCAGCAATGGAGTAGTTTCCTCGAGTACATTATTAAGCACGAAGAAGGTAAAGTTCTTCATGAATACATCCAGAGATCCACTGCACGATTGACTACTCTTGCCTTGGCAAAAACTCAGAACCAGACTGCAACTCCCGGTGAATATATTTTTCGTGTTTGGATATTTATTACATTTACCCAATTAGCCAGGTTCTTTCATTATTTTCATTTTTTCTGTAGCTGAAAAGGCAGAAATGCAGTATATGAGTATTCGGATAACATCCATCATGATCAAATATGATGATATTTGGCTTTCATCACAACATCAGCTTGTGAAGGCTTATAAAAATTTATGGATGGATGATACGTATTTGGTAAGATGTGTTTTTCTCTAAGCCTTCCCTTCCTCATTTTACAACATATTTTTATTGTGTTATGTTTTTGTAAGACTTCATAAAAGGTGTAGTGTTAGTATGAGCCATTGTAAGTAAGAGGATGGGAATAGAAGCATATATTTAGCAAATTAGTTTTGTTGCCCAGTCCAGAGTTGAGCACTAGAAAAATATTACGTCCATTGAAAAAAATAGCAATACACTGAATATGTCTGAGGAAATTCATTACTCTTAAAAATTAATGGTGACTATTTTTTATTATGGTATTAATTTATGGGAAATGTGTTCTAATGTAAAAGCAATTTCGAAAGAGTTTTGAAAGTTGGATAACATTTTACTTATGGGTACTAATTCATGGCATAGGGAGTGTACTTTCCAAGACAATGATGAAAAAATAATTACAGTCATTAGTTTATTGTAACAGAATACCCAAATTCTTCTTTCACCTTTATTCTTAGATAGTTATACAGCCATTAATATATTGAAAGTTCTTTTATTTGTATTAGTAATTTAGTGAAACAAAAAGTTTCATATTTATGCCAGTAAAGCAACTAAAAAATCTTAAAAAAGAAGAAATTTCAAGGGGGAGATTTGTGATGTGCAAATGAACAAGATATAATGTTTCAATATAGGATATTTCATGAATTTAAACCAATATCAACATTGATAACTTCCATATATTGATGGTTAATGGCTAATACATTTAATAAATGATGAAGTTGGATAGATGTTATCTCAATTCCTTTAAAAACCTCTAATGTGAATGGAAATCAGTAAATTGCTCAGTACATTAGTTTTGAATTCTTCTGTAAGTTGGTACAAACAAATTATCTGATCATTTTATGAAAAAGTTGTTTTCTTACGTACCATTTGTATCGTAGTTGAAGTCTATAATAATTGTCAACTGTATTTCCTATAGGAACCTCACAAGAAATTGGAAGCAGTTGAAGCACCACATTGGAAAGAGCCCAAATTATTAGTTCGTGTTTTGCTTCATTATTTTTGTCATCATCCTAACGACATAGATCTCCTTTTCCAATTGTTGCGGGCACTTTGTGATTGTTTCATTCCTGATTTCCAGGTTTGTATAGAATATTTATTTTTGTGAGGCACTGTACTTTTATGTTCATATTTGATGTTTGTATCTTTGTATTTTCAGTTTCTTCGCGACTTTTTGGAAAATACAGTCTCTCAGAATTATACTGTGGAGTGGAAAAGAACAGCATTTTTCCGTTTCATTGAACATTTCCAGTCAACAAACATGAGTCAAGATTTGAAAGCAAAAATTCTGCAACTGATTCTTATCCCGTGTTTTGCTGTTAGTTTTGAAAAGGGAGAGGGTGAGAAGCTTATTGGTACACCATCAACACCTGAACAACCAAATCCTGAAAACTGCGTATCAGTTTTCATTAGTAAGGTGAATATTTTATTTAATAATATACTTTGTATAAATAAACATGAATGACTTACAATTAAAATTTTTGTTATTTCAGGCTATTGATCCTGACAATCCCTTTGCCAATTCAGATGCAGTAAGGATATTTCTCCTCCAGTTTTCATGTCTTCTTTTGGAACAAGCATCTTCTCAAATAAAAAATGCAGCAAATAAACGTCAAGGTAAGATTTGTGTGGAGGGTTCCATATTGTATCAAATGTGACGTCAAGTGTGTAAATGTGACATTATGCACCAAAATCATTGAATCATTGATGATTTTCACTCATATAGTATTACTTGTGTTTTAAATAATCCATCTGCATGGTATCTCATTTAAATAATCTTGTTACTTTTATTTTCTTTCTTAACAGGTATATTTAGGCTTAAAATAATTATAGAGCATAAAAAGTGTTTCTTTTCCTACTTTGTGTGTGGATATAAGTATATTTGACTTGAATTTTCGTAGATTAAAACATCATAATGTGTGCAAATTCAATTTTTTTCTCAATGTTATCCATATCTATAAAGTTAACGTGCCATGTTTAATTGATGTTTCACGTTGGGCTCCTCTGAAATAATTTAGAGTCTAACAAATACGAAAAGAAATATTTATGTGTGAGATTAAAGTTTTGACTTCTGTTTTTTTTCTTCTTTTTTTTCAGACACAAAAGTGCAGCGCTTATTTCTTTTTGCTTCTCCAGGCCTTTTGGGAAAGAAATGTGTTGATCCAACTACAAGATACCATGGTCATTTGCTCTTGTGTCATATAATCTCAAAATTTACTGTCCATAAACGAATCAAAGAGCAAGGTAAAATTTGTTCTGTGTTAAAATTTGTTAGTAGTGTTATTTGTGGATTCTGCTTCAGTATTACTGTATTTCACACTATTCATTGACTTTATGATCTTCGATAATTCTTAAAATGCTGAAACCAACTATTGATAAGGGATTAATATCATTTTTGAAACATTACTTCCAATTGATTTTATTATTTTGTGATATTAGTTCTATTACTGTTTTAATATAAATTGCTAAATAATATCAAGGGATAGCTTAAAAAACATTGTAAGTAAAACAAAAATCAGTGTTCTATATTTCAAATGCATTTCCTTTTAATGATAATAAGAAGGAAAATATTTTGAAGATGATATACTTTGAATATACTATCAGAGTCCAGACTTAGCTGCATCAAATTGAAACCATGAGTTACGATGCCAGCAAAATATGTCACCAAACATTTTAGAATTTGCAATTGCTCATGTATAAGGCTTCCACCCAAAAGTGTAAAAATACATTTCACATGAGGCAGACATCCACTGCCCTTGCCTTACTGCCCTTGCAAACTTTACAGCACTTGAGAATTAGAAGCATATTTGTCACTGATTGCATGGGATGAAAATGTCAGTCTTTTCTTTTGCTGCTGTCTACACCACCAGTTGCAAGCCCTGGCAGTATCACCATTAGTGATATGCTTGTGTCGTCTGCAACATTGCAGAAATGGAGCCCAGTTAGAGTAGCTGCCCAATGCTGAGAATGCAGCTGCACAATCTAGAAGTTAATGACTAATGCTCAGTGACCTTAGAATTCACACACTGGTATAGCACCTGGCAATTTGCGTAGTATACAGTTGGGTAAAGAATGTGTATACTGTTTCTTGAAAGAAAATTGTGTTTTCTACACAATGATTAAGTTTTTGCAGAAACATTTTATATATTTTTGTTTGTTATCAGATGGTTCATATGGTCCTCTTTTGTTGCAAGTAAAACTGATTATTTTATATAGTTCCATTTGAAAAATCTAAGTTGACTTCATTGGTTTCTAAAAGACAAGTGAAAAAAGACTATACGATACAAGTCTCTAGTGCCCCTGTTATTTCATGCATTTTTGTGAACACTGTGTTGCAATATCTTCAATATCAGTATCTCATCAGTTCAAAAATGATGAGAAGTGTTCGTGTCAGTGACTGACTCTTTACAATACGTAGTATAGAGTATCATCAAAGAAGGGTGTAAATTAAGAATAAAATACTAATAATATTGTGACAGATGTTGGAAAGGTGAACTATCTTTGCTGTCTTTGCAAATAATAACATTGACAGAAGAATTCAGGCAAAGCTGTCCTTTTTTCATACAATTTCATCTAATTTTCATCTAATAATCATCATTCATAATTTTCATCTAATTTTCTCTCTCTTTTCAGTATTTCAGAGTCTTCTTAAAGCTCACGCTTTTGAAGCAAGGACTGTGGTCCGGCAAGCTCTGGACATCATTACTCCTTTAATTCCAGTATGCATGGAGGATGGATACACAATTTTAACACATTGGACAAAGAAAATAATTGTGGAAGAAGGGCACTCAATGCAACAGTTGTTTCACATGTTGCAGTTAGTGGTTCGCCATTATAAGGTAAGTGTTATGCATGTTGTTCATTATAATGAACTTACAGAAGTACTTAATTTTATCTTACAATACCTACAAGAGACTGAGGAAGTATCAACATTTCATATATACGAGAGACGGAATGTTACGTCCAAATGTATTATACATAAACCATACAAAAAATTGAACATACATGTGAAGACGAGTATCATTCATATTTTACTGTATTACCACTCTCAACCTTGTAATATTGAGTTCACTCCAAATCTAAGGCGTAGCAAGATCAAGCGTGGCAAATATTAGTTTGCCAATAAGCATGTCTTATAACGTGGATTATATGCTCTAGAAGTTAACATCATTGTTGGTAAGAAAAAGATAGCTGATCTTCTCGTTGACTGTATTCGAACTTTAAACTTCATTCTGTTACAAACTTTATACAGAAATATCAAATCGGTATTCTTGAAAAAAACTAAAGTAATCAACTATGCGATGTAGTTGTATGAAAAAGAAGCTTTCAGCCTAGATAAGGTGATACATATACATTTATGAAGATTCAAAGTTAGGTCATGTTGATGTGCTGAGATTGGAAGAAAAGTTTTGTAAAGGAATGGGACTTTTTTATTCGGTACAAATCTCCCAATGAGTAGTTAATATTTTTCTTTAGTTTAATGAAACTTTGTACTTTTTATTTATCTTTTCTAAATAAGATTTCTTCAATTTTATTTTCAGGTGTATTTCCCAGTGCGTCATTACTTGGTTCAGTACATGGTATCTTCTATGCGACGTTTGTGCTTTAGTCCTAATGCCACAATGGAACATCGAAAGTTGGCAGTGGAATTAACTGAAGTAATTATTAAATGGGATCTTCAACGAATTAAAGATGAAGCTGAAGCAGCTGAGGTTGGTATTTGTTGGGAAACAATTATTAGTTAATTTTTTTAACAAAAATGACTTAATTTTAATTACTTAATTTGTGTAATTGCATATAGGAAAGGACAGAATTCTCTTCTTTGTCACTGATCTTATTTGTTAGTTTTTCCATTTTACCATTTTCACCTGTTTACATTTGCTTAAGTGATTGATTCAAACAACCCTTATTCTCAAATGACTATGTCCGGCCATTCATTCTTATAATGGAGGTCACTGCTCCCTCAAGTGTTCCTTATTTGGCCTCCTCTTTGCCCATTTCGTTTATGTTCATACATGGGGCTCCCTTCTATTTTAAAAAAATATGACAGTGATTATGTAGAATAATTTGAGTTGTGTGTGTTGTATTCTTGTTGTATGTGTTGTATCCTTCATAATATGAAAAGGCACATCAAAAATGGTGATAATTCTTTGGAAGTGTATAATTATGACAATCTAGAAAGCATACAAGACAAGTTGGATGCTCTTTGAACCAAAAAATTGAGTGTGTACACTGTGGGTGCTCAACCATGAAAGGTTGAACCAACATTGCACTATTAGTGCAAAGAGCAGCTTGTCTCGTATCCATTCGCCTAAGGAAGCATCCATTCCACTCTGATGAAGGGTGTCTATAAAATATGATTCTTACTTCTATTCATTCTTCTCTGTAATTCACCACTATTTTAAGCAAACAGTTTGCTTAAAGATCATTATTCCTTTAGCATAGATTATGAATTTGGCCCTTAAAACCCAATCTGATTGGGCTATCATCATTTTATAACCACAGATGATTATAATCTTTGTGTAATCATTGATAATTCTAAAAGGGAACAGCTCATTCATTGAATGGTTCTAAAAGTAAATATCACACTTTTCCTCCTAAGGAAAGCTTTCCACACCTTGCTGATTCTTTCATCAATATTTTCCACCATCTGTTCTCTGACTCCAGAAAAATATATTTAAATATTCTCCCCATCCTGAAGTATGCGAACTCTGTTCAGATTACACCAAAAACATTGGAGAAAATGCAACACAGCAATGAAAATTCAAAAAGCTATCAGACATCTTGTATATTAAGAAAGAACATTGCAGGTGTGGATATGTGCACTAAAAAGGGAAGACAAGATAGAACCTGATTGCAACTTCTTCGACTGTTATGATGTTCCAAACCCTATATAATTTTTCAATGTGTACAGAGTGTACAACTTCAGAAAAATTTCTCAAGGATACAGAAATAACATGTATAATTGAACAAAGACAACACTTCTTGGAAAATACAATTATAGTCAACGAGACCAATCTGCTAACAGTTATTTATTTATTGTTATTAGAGGTAACCTGTCAAAACTGATGGGATGAAATAAACTCCCTTATTAATAATTCATTATATTAAATTGTAGAACACAACGTAATTTCTTCAATACTAAATATAAGTTCTTTTTCATTTCAAAGTTTCCTTTATTATCAGTAACTAGCTATTTTAGCTAGCCTGCTGAACCGGACCCATAGGTGTATGAGTTAACAACATCCAGAATACATTTTTTTCAATATGTAAACGTTGTGAATTTCACCATGGTGCATACCACAGAGGTATTTCACATTGGTGCATACTTTTTCATTACTAATTTGTGTAGATCCTATTCCAGAGTTTGTGCTCTCTCCATACTTGATTCTACTTTGTCCACTATCCCTAAGGATCCACCATGTATGTGCACTGACCATCCCACTCTTCAAAGGCTCTTTTACTTGCCACAATAACATACAAGATCCTTTCAGTGGAGCTAGGGTGCAAGTGGCTAATGATACTGATCGCTTTTCCACACGGCGTGGCCGGTGTAGCCAGGCCATGGCAGTCGTGCTTTTCCTGTTGCCTATGTAGAGCACAATGAGCTGTGTCATGCGGAATCTCAAGTAACTTCAAGATCGAAATGGAAGCAATAAGTCATGCGTCGCCGCCGCCAGTTGTAGCCCTCACAGTACGCGGCCTATGTCTCTGCAGTGAAATAGAGTGGCATAAGGTCATCAGTAATGTTTTTATTCCGTGTCCGATACCTCCTCTTCAGGGGAAACTTCTTCGATAATGACCTTTGGCCATTCTTTCCAAGCAGTCCAGTGTTGGAATTTATGGCATTGATGCGACATATTTTTCCAGGAAGGAATTGATTTCAAGGGCGTTGCATTTCCTACGTTCACCATAGCTGTGGCTCAGAGTTCACTAGAACCGAATTTCTAGCACTTGCATAAAACCATACATAAATAATAATACATAAAAACTTCTTTAACTAATATTAGAGTAAATTTTTATTTTAGAAGGAACTTCCGTCTCCTTAGCCCTTCCTTAGTTCCAATATCTGCATGTAAGTTCAGACATGAAAAATGAAAATGTACTAATATGCAAGTCTGAATGTTCTAAATGCTTTACTTATTACCTTTCACAGGAGGAGTCTGCATCTTACAATTTTTGTTTCGCAGCTTATGTTGTATTTTCTTAAAAAGTTTGTTATGCAGCGAAACTTATGGTGATGAATTTTTTAATATCTACATTAAGTTTCTTCTTTTACCATTTTATTTAATTATTCCGTACTTTGGAAGGATAAAATGTGACATCTTAAAAGAATTATTTTTTCAGAATTCCACACCAGGAGTCAATGGCAAACGTCCTTCAACCGATGAATCTGGAACTAATGTGAAAAAACGTCGTAGTACAATATTATCAGGACACAGTTTGGTCCCTGCAATGGTGCCAGAAGTAGAGCCTGATTACACTACACCTATTGATAAACTGCATAGTGAAGCAGTTCTAAATTTTTTGTTACGCCTTGCCTGTCAGGTAAATGCCAGAGATATATTTTATTAGGATTTTATTATGCAAATTTAGACTCCAAGGATAGCAAATATGTAAATTTAAGATTTTTTATCAAGTTCAGTTGTATGTCAGTATCAATTCTTGTAGAGAGCTTTTTATTGGATTTTGTAGTGCATGATTTTTGTGTATATCTCAGAACATGTTCGTACATAATGCAAGCACATTTTTGGAATTCAGTTATTAACTAGCAGGAAGACCACTCATTTTTATTTATTTATTTGACTATGGACTTTTATTGTCTAGGTAGTATATAAGTACTGTTAAATACCAATATAACAAAATTCAGTAATTATTTTATTTGTATATTTATTTTTTAAGCAAACATGCAGTATAAGCTCATAATAATATATGTTCTTTTTTTAACATAGTTTTTACTTTCTCAGTACTTCTTATGCAGTATAGAGAAAGTTTTATAATGCTGCAGGAAAAAACGGTGAATTTTCTACACAAAAGTCTTATTGCAGGGCCCTGGTAATGAAAAATGTTATAAATCTTGTCCATATATAGTAAATTACTTTCTCTATCACGTTGAATAGCTAGAATCCAAGTTTTGTGGTTTTTTGATACAGCAAAATCTATTGAGGGTAAGATTATCTGTCCGTCCATGGTCAACACTAGTGTCTAACTGGTTAGAGCCAATTTTCTTTCAAAATTGATATTCTCCAATTGATCTAGCTGATGTTGCGGTGCCTTGAATGTCATGGCACTTTGAATCTGAAACTGATATTTTAGTTTTGGAGGGTAATGAAATTCTCCAATCAGTCTGAATGAACTTTATCCTGTGGGAGTTTCAAGCATATATTTTGATTTTTGAGGGTACACTGCATGAAACCTCACCAACTATTTTCAATTTTTTTTATTAAACGTTCTCAAATTGCATAAAGGACGCTTAAGAGACTGGTGCAGTTCTTATGTTTGTTAGAATCCCTTATTTTTCAAAAATTGCAGATGTACAATATTTCTTCAGCATCTTCCTACAACTACAATTTGAAGATAAAGATTTTTTTTTCCTGGGAGTCTGACTGTCCTATCTAGCCTATATTAAATTAACTATATTTTCAATCCTTTATCTCAGAAACTATTTAACTTAGAACTTGAAATTTTTACAGTATATTCTATAACTATTTGTTATTACACTTAAGCAAAATTTTATATGAATAGGATATCATAAAACCATTTTGCAGAATTTAAAAAAGAAAAAAATTGGAAATAATTTTAAAAAGTAGATGCATATTAATTCATAGTTTAAATAATTTTGCAATTTACCTCTTTAATTTGGTTAAGTAACTCAGTCATGTTTACATTAAGCTCTCCTGAAAATTTCATCTTTTATTCCTTTTCTTTTTATCTGAAGTACTTTTTGAGAAAATGAGTCATAATGTCATTTTTTATACAAATAAGGTATACTTCCCTAGAGAATCATACTTCTGACCTCACAAACTTACAGAACAGTTGTAAATAAATCAATGTTTGTGTACAAAACTACAAGAATAAAGAAGTTACAAGTGTGTTTCTCCAATGTCAAGTACAGAACCTCTCCCAATAGTCTACATATCTCACAATTACATTGACAAGTAAACAAAAAAATCCAAGAGTCATGCCAAATGAGACACACCCCGACCTGCTGGAGAGAGATATTTAAACATTAAAAAAATAAACAAAAATAACACTTGTATATTGAAATATGCAATAAAAGTCTTAGCCCTGTGTCAGGTAAGTCTAAATAATTTAACAAGCTTTAAGTTTTTAAAATGTCAAAATTTTCATTTCATATGATGGTCAACGGGGTTGTTTGAAGGAGTTGACCCACATTGCTCCTTGACAAGAAAGTGTTTGTTTGAATAATATTTTTGAAAGACGTTTAACGTATGATTTAATAAAAGAAAATGAATTTAGAAATTCAATTCTCAAATGTACACGAAGCGCAAACTGAGAAGGTATGGACTTGTTAATAACAAAAGACGGCAGTGTTTTTTCCTGTTATAAGGCACTATCTTTCTAGTCTATTAACAGTTCCTTTTAAAAGTGTTTTGTACTGAAGTGAAGTGTAGTGTAGTGTCGCGTAATACGTTTATTGATAGTGGGTGATCTCTCGCCCTCGCGATGGACACATGAATGTAATACATGGGTGAGCTATGGGGCGTAGTATCCGAATTCAGCCAGTGAGCTACAGACTCCAATTTGGGTCACAATATCAACGGGAATTTAAATGTAACCAGATGCCAAAATTATCACATCACAATTTCAAATCATTGAAGCCGATATTTGAAACCTTTTTTAAAAAAAATATTGCATCTTTTATTTCAATTTCACCTTCAACCAGTTATTTTTTGTTCAAAATTGTCACTTTATGCCACCTTCAAAATGCTTTTCAAACGAAGTGTCCGTGATGTGGTCACGTGGTTCGTGATATACACTGGTGCTGTGCAGAACAAGCAAAAAATCGATACGCTGGACTAGCTGTCCCATGTCTTTCCTTCATGGATGGACAGAAAAATTTGTCTTGGATGATGCTCCAATCCCCGCCGCAGCCTTTTGAATAGGAGCCTATCATTCAGGAAGTAGGCTTCTCGGTGGCAAGGGCCACCAGGCCAAAGACCCCCAGCTCCTACCCCTCGTGTCACAGAAGGTGAAAGTCGCACCCCTGCCCCTCCGCAAGCGATCCTTGACTCTGCTACCTGCTCATGCCCTCCCCGTGGGCCTCTGCGCCACTGCAGGAATTCAATCACGAGTATCAATCCCGTGAATAAAGTTAATGTGGTTACTCGTTCCTTGCTGTACGTAATTATCAAAGTAGCAGCAAGCTCCTCTCAGACTTGTTCGAGCGTGCTATGGGGGGGGGGGGGTTGAACGCAGGAGAAAGGGTCTCGTGTCAAATGACGTTCTTCAAACCATTATTGACAAACTGAACCTACGGTTCTTGAATACTGACCATCCACTCATTCCTCCCCGGATTTGAACTCTCTCTTCCTTTGATTTGTCACCTTGCGATCCGTCTCCGTAGTTTGAATTTTACAGTTGGTTGTACTTAATGACATGTATTGGAGTGACCATGACTCACTTCAACGTTCGTAATCTTAACATTACCTGCTCACTTCCTGGCTAATCCATTGCGCTAATTGGAATATCCAATAAAGAAATCCATATATCCGACAATTGCCCTAACAATATTGATGCCATGGTTTGCCCATTTTACTGATACTGTTCTCAATGTGGCCTTCACTGCCATACTGAAGTCCGCAGGCCGACTGCGACATCGCCTTGTGCCTTGGTGGAATTTCTACCATATCATTGGGGTGCGTGGACTCTAGTGTAACTCTGAAAATTTGATCAATTGTTACAATAGTTGGAGAGGTCATACAAAAAAGTAAAGCAGCTGGAGAGCCTATTTTTCTTTACTTTCTTGCCATACCTCCAATAAAGTTGTATGGAGGATTCCCCCACTGACTGTCCCAGGGTTGATTGGAAATGAACACAAGCGTACACTAGTGAAGCTCTGGAAATTTTAACAATTATAAAAGCTAGATATGACATGAGAAAGTAATGCAGCAGAAGAGCCTATTAATCTTTACTTTCTTGACATACCCCCACTAAAGTTGTATTGCAAAAGGTGCGACAAATTGAAGGAATTCTTACCCTACCGACTGTCCCAAGGTTGGAAATCTCTTCACCTTGCCGGAAGATGTTGAGGTACTAGCATCTCCCTGCAAGAATATTTCCAGTTCCTCACATTACACCTTAAACTCTACTAAGGAAGTGTGTTAAAAGAAGATTGGAGAACTGTGCATTGGAATTTTTCAAGTCTCTCAAAAGATTATAACACTCTTTTTTCCTTGGAAGGATGGATAATCCTCTGCTTCAGTTGCCCACAAGATTCTGTTCCAGAACCAGATCGGATAAACGCTACTAAACACTAAAATATCAACCCCCAGAAAGCAGTCTTTAATCCTCTGCCTCTCCAATCTAATTTGGATTAACCATATTTAATCTCACTCACTAGCTGCCTCTGTAAGCTTTTGGTGCAAATGGGGAACACTCGTCTGGTCTGCGTTCTTGAACAACGTGTTAGCACCTAGCCAATTTGGCTTCAGAAGATCCCAGTCGTGGACTATTTAGTCACCCCAGCTTCTCTATTTCTTTCCTGCTGCGACAACACATCGTAGCAGTCACCTTTGATATTGAGAAATCCTACAACTACCTGGGAGTCCAGCATTCTTTGTGTCTAATATTGTTGATGATGGTTCCCTTTGTTTCTGGTAGATTTAGGTTATCTTCTAGGCACCTGTTTAAAGCTAGGTCAGCAGACATCACTACTCAGTTTCATTGTTTGCCATTGCTCTCAACTGTATGGTGCCAGTTTTACAAAAGGCTTCCTACAATATACATGTTAATTAGAGACGATTGCAAATCATTCTTGTGTGGTGCTAAAATGGAACAATAAAACAGATTGAAGTTCTCCCCTTTAGAATCCAGCTGTGTACATTTTTGCAGGTTTCACCTCCTTAACTATCCAGCTCTCTTTCAGAGGTCAACTTCCTCTTCTGTCGAAGCTGCAACTTTCCTTGATCTCATATTTGACATTAGCTTAACTTGGCACAAACACATATGTGAACTGAAGAGCTGATATATGTCATTAGTGAACCTCTTTGGCATTAGTGATAGCACATGGGGTGCAGACCTTGAACATCACTTTTTGTTGTATAGGACCATCCTTTCGGATATGCATAATGGAAGCAATATGTCTGAACCTTCGTTAACAATCCAGTTATTGAATATCATCATCCATTACACCAGATTTCGTCTCAGCACAGACACTTAAGCACGAGCTGCATTGAATATCCCTTGACTAAGGCTGGAGAACCATCTCAGAGTCAAAGGCGTGATATTGTGTTGGGTTCCTGTGGTGTGAAATTGTTAGCTGTTGATAATTCCTCCCACCAAGCAATTTTTCACCCATGTCATCAAACCATATATGCTCACACCGTCCTTATTCCATCTCGCTGTGGGTTTTTATTTTTATGTTACAAAGCTTAATTTTTAAATGCCCGTCCCTGTGAAATCCCCTCGAAATTCTATTTCGTATTGGAATTTTATGCACCTCAAAAAGACTTCAGATTGTCTAATGTCCTTACATTGATGATTCTCCCTAGAACAGTATTTGTGATGTACTTTCGGGAAATAAAATCAGAGTGTCCTGGTCACCTAATGATATTTCCCAAAGTGGCAAAGTTGGATGTGCTTTCTATTGTGATAGTTCCACCTTTTCTGAATTGACTCTTTGTGCAGTGTCTATAACGCGGAGAAATATGCGCTATTGAAGACCCTAAAATTCACTTGTTCTGCATCATTATGGGAACATGTGATCGATAGCAATTCCTGACATACTCTCGAGTCAAACTCCTCCTATGCCTGTGACTCTCTGTTAATGAGTATGCAACGTCAAGTTCTTTGTCTAATGCTCCATCATTTTAACTGGTTTTCTGTTTGGTCCCTGGCCACTTGGAAATGAATAGCAAACCAAGTAGCAAAGTCTGCAAAAGATAGACACCCTGAGAATCCACCATAGTCCCAGACATCCCAGTATGACCGTGGCCTCTTTGGTTTGTCAAGTGGCATCATGTCATGTGATCCGAGTGATTGGTCCCAGTCACTGTAGTGTCACTTCGCTGGTCATGGATTGGTCAAGTGTAGGTCAGAGATGGAATAATCTTTCAATAGGCCAGTTGTTGTTCAGGGTTGCACGTGCATCAGTGAGTTTGTACGTATTGTCAAGGACATTTTCATCTTGCACTGGTGCAGCGTGCGCTCCAAGAATCATTTGGAAAAAAAAGAAAGAAATCGTTGGTCACATTGTTAATACCAAAGGGTGTCACATGAGATCTCACACCTATCAGTTCGAATTTTTTGAAGAGTGCTAGTGCCGGACATAGCCCTTTAACGCTGTAAGACGGGTGCCTCTGCCCTCTCGATTATCTTGTTCATCTTGTCCATCTTGTCCATTGCCACTCCTAGTGAGCATAACAAAACAGCAATAAACTTAGAAAAACTAATGGATCCTCTTTGGAATAGCCCTGTTCCCAGTGGCGTGTGTTACGTCCCCTTGCGACAAGTGGGGAGGTTGGCATTGAGCCTATTATTATAAGCATTTTTTAAAATTATAAAATTTAGTTTCATATCGAATAAAATGATTTCATATACATTGTCTGTTTTATTGTTCATTTAAATTTAATAAACAATCATTATTAAATTTAAATAATGTCAAGAAATGTATTAGTTACAGTAAGGCAAATCTTTTCAACTTACAAAACTGTCTGGTAACTTTTTTCAGGTCCATGATAAAGGTACCACTCTGGGATCTCCTGGTGAATTACTGTCCAAGCGTTGCGTAGCACTTCTAAAAACAGCTTTGAAGTCAGACATGTGGCCTTATGCCGGTGAACTGAAATTGAATTGGTTGGACAAAATGTTCATGAGTGCAGAAGGATCATCTCCAAATTTTGGCAATATTTGTACTGCACTAGAATTACTTACCTATTTGTTGGGTATAATGAAAAGAGAAGATATTTTAATGAGTATCAAACCTCTTCAAAGGGGTTTGGCTGCTTGCATAGCCAGTTCAAATTCGAAGGTAATTTCAACATGCAAAGAGCACAGATGCTCCTTTTGCCAACAGTATTAGAATACATTGACTTATGAAATGTAGTTTTTATTGTCCAATAATAGATCAAGATTATGCCATTATAATATTTATACTTTTACTGTTAATACACATTATAAAATGTTCTTATACCATCTTTGAATCATGATTCATATAGGTTATTAGGTTAGTGCATGGACTAATGACTCTCCTGATGGGAATCTTTCCTCCTGAATCAACAACTGCTAGTGTTGCATCAAAATATGAAGAATTAAAATGTTTATACACCAGCCTGGGCGAGGTAGAGCATTTTTTATTTATAATTTTTGGAGTTCTTTAATTAGTTAATATTTTTTAGATTGAATGTTAATGCACAATGGATTATTAGTTTATTTCAGAGTGCTTGGCATCATATGAGAAGAATGCAAAAGCTTCACCTACTAGTTTGTATGGCCCTCTAATGATGTTGAAAGCAGCTTGCCTTAACAATCAAACGTATATTGATCGTTTCATTATTCCTTTTATGAGAGTACTTCAACGAATGACTCGTGAACATTTAAACCCTGCCCACAAGGATCAACCTTCTAGTAAGTGAGATTCAACATCTGGCTGATAATTTTTTCTACATTCTGTTAAAGTATAAATTTTCTTTTTACAGGTTGCGAACTACTTATTCTTAGTCTTGATCTGGTCAAAAATCGTGTGGTTGTAATGAGTGCAGATATGAGGAAAAACTTTATTGGATCTATTTTAGTTGGTTTAATTGAAAAAACTCAAGAAATAAAAGTAATGAAGGCTATTTGCAAAGTGAGTTATTTTTTCTGAAAATGAAACTCCATATATCTGTACTTGATCTACAAAATAATTAGTACATATTTTTATAATATAAATTTGATTACTAGATGCTGAAAGATTGGATGGAAAACAAAAATCCAATTGCAATCAACCAAACTCCAACATTAAGGGAGAAATCAATTCTCCTTGTGAAAATGATGCAGCATTTTGACAATACAATGGAGAAACGTAACAATCTAGATAAACGTTTCCCTGATGATTTAGAATTACATGCACAGTTTCTAGATATTATCAATTTTATTTATAGGTAAGGTGATGAATGATTTAATAGTATTTTTGACTGAAAGGGTGTGAATGTATTAAAAATTTGTAATAAGACACAAGTGAGGGTTCTGGTTTTATTGTTTAAGCTGCATTTACATAAATTGCATTTTCCACGTTAGTGAGCATTCACAAGTTGGAGATCTGAAAATAAAACAGAAACTCCTTCCACGCCCATGCAGATGGTGATAGGAAAAGAGGGGAGGGGAAAATGATGTGGTGAGGTTTACTAAGGTTTTTTTGTTATGAGATGCTTTTTGAGGTGAAATATATGGGTGTTTATTACTGCAAGGGGAGCTAATTTTCTTATTTGTTGTTCGTTTTTTCATTATAATTTCATTTAACAGTTAGGTTTTGTCATTTTGTTTCAGTCTGGTCAGTATTACAAGTAACTTTTAAGTAAGTTTGCAGTTAGTATTTGACAGTGGTCATAGGTTAGTGGTGTTATTAAGACCAAGGTGGTGGAAGCTGGAGTATGTCAAGTGGGTAGTGATGGTTTTTATTGGTCGGTAGGTAGTTGAGGATATGGGTGATTGGAGCAAGGACAGGGGTAAATTTTGGGTTGTTAAGTCCTTTTGTCACACAAGTCTTTGCATTGTTGTATATTTCAGTTTGAATTGGTGGCAATCTTAGTTTCATCTTGATCGTCGGATGAAGTGGTTGTCAACTGTTCTAAGACTTGTAGTTTGTAGCAGCCCAGGTCTCACATCCATAGTGTAAAGTCGGTTTAACGTATGTATTGTTGATGTATTTCTTTGTCTTGCTGTCTAATTTTGGATGGGGAATGAGGGAAGTTAATGCACTGAATTCTCTATGAGATTCTGTGGTAATATCTTTTACAACGTCTGTTCAGTACAATCGTCGGTCGAATGTCAGTGCTAAGTATTTTGCTGTGTCCATGGAATGGGGATGTTGTTAATAGTAATGGGGGGGGGGGAATCATGATTAGTTCGTACAGTGGAGAAAATTATTGCATTGCTTTTTGTCAAGTTGATTTGTAGTTGGTTATCCATGTCCCATTTTGTCAGTAGGTTGGCATTGTGATGTAGTTTAGTTTATAGCAATTGGTAGTCGGTTGTTGATTGTGGAAAAAACGTTGTCTTCTGCATGTTTGTTTACTGCTTATGCCGTTTACGTCTCGTACTGTGGGTATGTCGTTGATATATAGAAAGAACAGGGAGGGGGAAAGCAAGGTGCCGTGAGGGATGCCGGTTTGGATGAGTCGATGGAAGGACAGGCAGCAAAGGTGTTTAACTTGAAAGGATCTGTTCGATAGGTACCTATGTACAAGATATCGGAGAAAGATCAGGATGTGTGGGCTGATTTTAAGCAGGAGGATGTCATGGTCAAAGGTGTCAAAGGCGGTGGTGACGTGGATAAGTAATGCAGGTACTGGTTATAAAATGTGTAGTCAGGTTCGTATGTCACTGGTGAGTCGTAGCGTCTGAAGTGCTGATGATCGGTCCTCGGAAGGAGTGAATCTAGGAGTATTAATGTAGCTTTGAAACTGAATGTTTGCTATTTTAACACTTGTTTCAGAGATGAGACTTTAAAGAAGTCTGAACTGGCCACAAAATTAGAACCTGCATTCTTGCAAGGTCTGAGATGTATCCAGCCTTCTATTCGAGCTAAATTCTTTGAGATATTTGATAGTAGAATGGAACGTAGGTTACATGATCGTTTACTGTACATAATGGTTCAACAAAATTGGGAGCCCATGGGACCACATTATTGGATCAAACAGTGCATAGAACTGATTGTGGTCACTGCGAGGCCAGGTGAGAATGTGCGAACTTGCATTGCTTGAAACTTTGTAGAAATACTCTCACTAATGTTTACTTTCTTGCTTGATTTATTGAAGAGCATTTTATTGGATTTTAAAAAGGTATTGCAAAGTACATATCTTAAAGGTTGCTTTTTCTTAAGGCTTTAGATTTTACCAAATTTATATATATTTTAATAGTATCTTTGTTCTTGTTATATAATTATTCTGTACCACACTCATACGTATATTTTTCAAAGTTTTGGAAAAGTATCCAAATTTTTTAAAATTAGTTTTCAGAAAATGCATTTACAAATTAATAAAGTCATCATTTTATATATTTCAGAGGACAACATTCGTATTTGTGGTGAAGGCAACTTGATGCCTCCTATCACAGCAGTATTGAAAACTGCTGACCCTGTTGAGAAAATAAGTTTTCAGTTAGCCTTAGTTAATGTAAAAGATAAGGAGAACAGGAAAGCTTCCTTGCAACAACTTATTGAAGGACATAGTGAATATGTAGAATCTATTCAAAATACACGCACTATTGATTTTTTGTTAGCCATGGCACAATTATGCCATATGGAAAAGACTCTTGCAGAACGTGTGTGGCTTGACCTCTTTCCTCGAGTATGGAATATTCTTACTGAAAAGCAACAGAATGTGAGTTTCATAATTAATATTTACATACATATTAGGGTCGTTCCAAAAGTAATGCCTTCTATTTATTTCTATGACTACTATAGTAAATAAAAAAACAAACTTAATGTAAAGTGTTAGAAAAGAGCTTATTGAACACAACTGTACTTTTCAATATATGTCCCCCTTTTTACTTTTAGCCTTATGAATTCTTCTTAAGGAGAGAAAGTTATGTAATCGTGCGCCAGAAAACGTTGAAATTTCGCCAACAAAAACTTATTCCCGGGTTCTGGTATTGAAAAATGGATAAGTCCTGTTGCTAAAGATGATCCCCTAACTTCTGGTGTAGCCAGAATTCATGTTTTGTTTGTTCTTGATACCAAAGAATCAAGCGATGGCAAAACGTCTGTCCGTCCGTCTGTGGTCAACTTAAGTGGCTAAATTGTTTAGCGTTTTCCCCAAACTAGATATTCCACAATCGATCTGTTGTTTTGGCCTGTGGAATTCGAAACTTATATTTTAATTTTGGGGAGTACTTTATGTGAAACTTTTCAAAATGTTCCAAAAAGTGGCTGCAAATTTTTTGATTAAATTTTGTTGTTCAATAATGTAAAAGACGTTGAAGGGAATGGTGCAGGTCTCATATTCGATTATTCGAAATATATCCCTGATTATTCGAAAATTGCAAAAATAATTTTTAAAAGTACAAAATTAAAGAGGGAGGTTTCTGGCTCAGACAAAGGCTGTTGTTCAATATTACCTCTTCAGAAAAGGTCATGTACAATTACTTGTAAAAATGAGTAGTTTTTTGTGTAATGTGGGCTTGAAATTTGCAAAAAAAAATTTTTTTTCTCAAAAACCACTCTTTAAATTTTCTTCACATATGTAATAAGGGATGGTAAGAAATATAACGCTAGTTCCATTTTTGGGTATTTCTATTGTTGTTTTTTTTTTTAATTGCAAAATCATTTCAAAACTACAAATTTGTAGATAGATTTTTGCATCAACGTTTGTTGTACAAAATTAGCTATTTAAATAAATAACTCTAGTTATTTTTTGTTCTTTCTACTCTAGTTTTTTCTATTTCTCTCTACTACTAGTTTTCTGTTCTTTCTACTCTTGACCAGCTTTTCCAGTAGGTGTTATTGTCTTCTTGCCTATTTTCTTTCATCGCCCAATAAACAAACATTTTTCACGTTTTCTTAATTACTCGGTTTGTAAATAAAACTAAAACCACCATACACTTATTACTATTATGGAAGTATACGTTGCACGCCATAACTGGATAGCCAAGGTAGGTAATTAGGGGGTAAGGCAGGTTGGCTGGTTCAAGTCATTGTCAGGAACAATTTATTGCGACTATTCTGTGTTGCCACTGGAAATAATTGATAATTCCAGAACAATTATTGGAAACCGTTTGAAGCAATTCTAATCGTAAATACTATTAATCAAGATACATACAGACACTTCCAGTTTATTTTACTTTTGAATTTTTAACTTTTAAAAAAAATTTCACATCTCTTATGGGCTTTGTAAAATGTATGAACTATCAAATCAATTGTTCTTATATTTCACTATTATAAAAGTGTCAAATGTCTGTATAACCCGTGTGACCTAAGTGCTTAAATGTCGGGTTTGGACCCTGTGCTTTGGAGGGAAGGGCCACTGGTTTGAGCCTAGTTTGGGGGTAATCATTTGTGATAACTCTCTGTTGCCGCAGAAAACTATTGAGAATTTCAGAAACTTGACTGCAAATCGTTTGAAGCAATTCTACTCACATATACTATCTATTTAATTTGTAAAGAAACCGGAAGTGTGTCTATGTCATTTCCATTCTTTGAAATTTTAAACAAGTTTACAACTCTCTTGTCCTATTAGAAAACATATGTCACAATAAATCAATTTTTCAATATAATATTCAAATCAATATAATATTGCAGAGCGTTTAGAGACATTGCGAGAAAGGTATTTGCTTTGGCAGCACCACTAGTTTTCTATGCATTTTATCTACCAGTGAACAAGAGCTTGCATAACACTCTGGTAAAAATCTGTACTAGCCGACGTGACCCATATCGGCGAATTCTTATGGTACCATTCCATGCATGGGTCAATAGCCCCTCACAAACTTCCATTTGGTGCTGTTTGTGTCCCTGTGTGAGTGATTGCTGGACCCACCTTGCTTCTGTTTTTGGTAACTCAATTTGCCCAGCATTGCCTGTAATGCAGTGCAGCCAGTGTTTAGTGCGATACTCAGTTCCCCAGCACTGTACACAGCCCCCACCCCCACCCATGAGAATATTCGCGTGGATGAGCTGGTTGAGGCACTCCTTCATTACATAGTGTGGCAGTTTTGCATGGACAACTCCAATGTGGTTTGTATTTCACGTTGCTGTCATTGCCGTTGAAACGCACTACCCATCGTCGACACAGAGTGACATCCTCTGAATGTCTCCCGTAAAAGTTCAGCAAGTGACTGTGAATGTCAGTATGTGCAATTTCCTCCAAAGTGAGAAGTTCAGTCACACATCTCTGCTTCTGGCACGTTTTCCAACTAGATGCCACTTTAGTGTACTGTAACTGTGCTTCTGTCTAACAAATAGTAACAAAATTAAATGAACATTAACAGGAAGAATCAAATTCTACTATGACATCACGCACATTTGTTTTTGAGTTCATATGCCAACGTTAAAGAAATGGGAGGCATAACTTTTGGAACAACCCTCATGTTACGTGAGCAGTAAATTAAGTATATTTTTAAGTTTTTACTTGTAAAATTAAATAATTACTGTTTTAACTGTTTTAATTTCTTACAGAATATTGTTGCTGACTTGGTTCCTTTCCTATCCAGTGGAGCCCATGTTATTCAGAAGGACTGTCAACCTAGTTCATTAAATACTTTTGTTGAAGCTCTAACTCTCTGTGATAATCCTCCTATTTCTATTAAACCGTAAGTAGCAACATTGGCTAAGTTTTCTGTGTGTGGAAGACTGCAAATTATCTTCTGTTGATTAAATTTTTCACACAAATCAGTAGAGAGATATTCCATAATCATTTCAAAATTAAATAAGTGTTCAAATTTTCACTATCCAGTCCATTTGCATCATTGAAGACTATCTAACGTGGAATATTTTTAGTTTGCTTAAGTCATTCCATTTTGGTTCATTGGATACATTTTAAATTACATTGTACATAAAAATAAAATTATTTTTTGTTACAGAACACTAATGAAATACATTGGTAAATCTCACAATCTTTGGCATCGAATGACATTGAAACTTGAACAATTGATTCATGATGCTGGATCATCTCACCACAAGAGACATGAAGATTGTTATGACTTCGAACCATCATCCACTCTTCACAAGGTGAGAAATAAAGACTTTTTAAAATGATAAATCTAAACACTTACTGCAAATTCAAAACATTTTCATATTTTCATTCCATTCCAATTTTACCTTGACATGTAAAGATTTCATCGAAAGTCAGTATATCTACTAAATTTTGTGCAAGAAGGCAGGTATTTGAGTTCAATATCTTTCCCATGTTTGTTCGTTTGTTGTTTTTATTGAATGCTTTTGTAGTGATTAATTATATGTAAAAATGTGATAAACTACTAAAAAGTTCTGATACTATTATAATTATATATGTCCAAGTTGCCACTGTAGTAGAATCACTCAACGGAACGACATAGTGAATCTTGTTCAATTTATTTTTAATAGGAACCTTTATATACTTATTACCAAGGCTAGGATTTATATGGAATAACAGTTACCTAAATAAGAACATACATGTGGGCTAAAATTGTTCAAATATGGAGTAAAATATGAATTAACAATTCAATAAAAATATAAAAATTGTGGAAAAGTATATAAAGGAAATGTTAAGTTAGATATAGATATAGATTTCTTTAGCCTATGATAATGAGTGAAATGAAATGAGTTCATACATAGAACAATCAAAGATTTTAATTTTAATATTAACTGTAGAAAAAGATGTATTCATGTACTAAAATAGACTGAATATTAATGTGTTGTTGAAAGTTCCTTAATCCTTTTCTGATAAATGACCATTTACAATACAATGGATTACAAAGGACCATTTTTAATGATTCAATGTGAAATTACCCTATTTAATGTCTTAATATTGCTTTACATTAGCTAAAAAACATCACATAATTGCAAGTAAAATGTAGCTAAGATGTTCCCTTGGAATGTCTCCTGAACCATCACGGATATTGAGATGTGTTTTTCACTAAAACAAGTGTATGGTAGGGGCCATTAATTATGTATAAAATTAAACTTATATTTTTAATTTATGAGATATTGATACAACTTCAAATTTTTTCAATAGACCCCCATAGATTTCTTTAGCCTATGATAATGAGTGAAATGAAATGAGTTCATACATACCTTTGTACGTAAAATAGTTTTGAGAAATTTTGAGTTTTTCCTACTAGACCAACTCTTAATATTCTGCCCCTATCTGGGGGTAACCATAATGTTTCACAGGCACCCCCTCCTTGTCAGCAACAAATAACGAGTCAGAAATAAACTATTAATACACTATCACTTTTAAAATATTAAGAAATGAAGTAGCATTGAATTCTTCTTATTAAGATTTATCCATTGCAGGTGAAAAACACAGTAGATCAATTTAAAAAATTAAAAATGATTAAATTTCTTCAAAACTAAAAATTTTATCTCAACAATATCTCAACTTATTACTTCTTCCATGATTCAGTATTATGGGAGTAGTGTGTGAAAACTAAAGGTCAACACAATGTTCCTCTCATTAACTATGATCTGAATTATCAGTGATACTGCTGCATGTGTATTAGTGAGTGAAATAAAATGTTATAAGTACCATATGATTAATAATGAGTTTTATACGAAATATATTATTCAGGACTACCTACATTTGTCCAAGTACCATTTCCATTTTAGCAGCTTGAAATTTGATATATTATCCCTAAATAATGTGGTATGTGATTTTTATTGTCTACCACACCCTGATACAATGTTCATTGAAACTGTACAAATAGTTTAAAATTAAAAATTTTAATTTTCATAAAAAAGCTGTGTAATTTCGAAATGTTTCAAAATGTATCTGTGCATTTTTTTATATATTTTAGTACTATTCCTCCTCGATTTGAACCAAAAGCACAAAAACATCAAAAGATGTAATTGCGAAATAAAATTCTGAAGCATTTTGATCATTCTGGCATGTAGGTTCACTGACACAATAAACTGTTATAAAACTGTAACCAATGGGTACAAAATATGGTGATAGTATGAGGAGATACTAAATTTAATGCATAATTGGTTTCTAAGTGGGTTTCATGCTTTTGCAACTTAATTTGGAGGTATTTTTCATTTTCACAAATTTCTCAGTTAAAACAACATATAGTTAAAACTCAAATAACTTCTTATTTTTGGCATTATATCAAACTTAGTAGATATGCTGAGTTTCAAACAAATCTGATGGGGTCAGGGATAATTTCCGCTGTTTTCGCATGGAATTACTTTTACAAATATGATAAGATATTACAGAAGTGGCTTTTATCTTCTAATGATTTATAAGGGTGGATCAAATGAAGACAGAACATGTGGAGTCGGTGTCATCAAATGGTATCTCGTATGAAGTTGAGTACCATTAAGAAGTGTTGAAAGTATAACAGATGATCAAAGAACCTGGTTGGGATTATCATTGCAATACCTTTTGCTTTCTCATGCGTATAACGCGACAGGTGATGAATCATGCAACTATCATTTCCAAACCGAAAGCAAAAGTCAAAGTGAGCAGTGGAAACAAATATGGCTCTCCACCATCCACCACACAGGAAAAGTAGTTTGGCACAGAGTAGTGTAAAAGTGATGGTGACCTTTTTTTTTTAATACTTTACTACTAATACTACTACTAATATTATCATTATTATCATCATCATCATAATCATCATCATCAAGGGCCTATGGTTATTGATTTTTTCCACCTAGTGTAACAATCAATACCGATTGATACTGTAGTATCTTGAAGTATTTGCACAATGCAATTGGGTCCAAAAGTTCCACCCTCTAGTTTTCTGGAGTCAATGCAACTACTGTATATGTCAGTGCACAACCTCATACCGCTGAAGAAACTCAAACCACTTTGTCACAGTTTGTGTGGATATTGTTAGAACATCCTCTACAGTCCGTAGCCTGTTACTGTGCATCCTTCAAGTCTCTGGTCCCCTGAAAAAAAAAGCACTACGAGATAGTTGCTTCCATTCAATCCTAGAGATCCTCAACATGGTTCGCTCTGTGGTTTCGCTCACAACAACAGGAATTCTACAAACTGGAAATTTAATTTTTGGTGAAGCAGTAGGACAAGTGGCTGTGAGACCATGTGGATCATGTTGAAATAAATGTGGTTGATATTGTTTTCTGAGCACTGTTTTAATTTGATCCATTGTTATATGATTTGATAGTCTTTTGATATTAATAGCTGTATGTAATCCTGGTCAAACTGGTGAATTTTTTATGCTTTACGTATCTGATACACAAGTGTCTAATAAACAGTGTTTGTGACATATTTTGACAAACATTTTTTAATGTTTATCAGAGAATTGTTTCTTTAATAACTATTTTGGGTAATGTTTCAGGTCCAAGAAGTGGTGGACAATCTATCAGATATGTATCAAAGTCTGCGAGAAGAAGATATGTGGTGTGGCTTGTGGCAAAAGCATGCAAGATATGTTGAAACTACAGTCGCTATTGCATATGAAACTCAGGGATTTTTTGAACAGGCCCAAACAGCTTACGAAGTTGCAATGTCTAAAATCAGAGGAGATGCAGGATCAAGTGCAGTTACTCCCCTTATTCATGCTGAGATGAAAATGTGGGAAGAACGATGGATTAGGTATGATTAGATATTGTAATACTATTTATGTCTCTTTAATCCCATCCATTTAATATGAAATACTTAAATTGGAGATGATATGACTTTTATGTCCAAGCTCTTTGTGTTAAATTCACTTTGGTTTATGTTTTTTCTCTATTCATATAACTAATACTCTGTTTTTCAATTTGTTTGGAAACTATGATATAGTGGGTGTATGAGATTCTTTCACTTTTCCCAATTATTCACAACAGCTCCCGGATCCATTCACTTAGCTATTCTACAAGTTATGGAAGTTTTCAGCTTTTACTTCAATTGAAGGATCATGTCCTGTCAGTACTGACTGGGAGCTTTTCCTCAGTAAATCCCAAGTGCATCTTTGTGTGTATGTGGGTGGGTAGGTGGGTGCACGTGCCTTTTAGGGCAAATTAACACTAATTTTATTTGAATGATCACACATTTCATCTCTTCAAAATAGTAATTGTGAATTGTATTTTGTGTTGTTTTGTTACATAAATGTTCATTGTGATGTTTTCATGGCAGGTGCTCTAAGGAACTGAACCAATGGAGCCTTCTCCTTGAATATGGCGCTGATGAAAATACTCCAAATCCTTTCTTAGTTCTGGAGAGTGCTTGGAGAGTTCCTAATTGGCCCCAAATGCATGAAGCTCTTACGCAAATAGAGCATAATTGCCCTAAGGAATTAATGTGGAAGGTATAATTTTACTGTAATTGCAGAACCTATGAAGTTCTTCATGCAAAGTAGAAGATACTGTTGTTGATTCTGATATTGATAAGTCATGACAGTTTTTTTTACTTAAATTAGAAAGTACCTTAAAATGATCATATGTCATGGAAAGCATGACTCTTGAAGTACTCAAACACAAGTCTTCAGCTGGCAATACATTTTGCGGGTATGATGAAGGTACTTTAGAAGTAAGTTAGGAGCCTTACGGAATGGATGTGTTGACAGTCTACTTATAAAAAAAATTGTCATTCTCTGGGTTAAATATGGCAAAGAATGTTCCAGAGATCTTATACAAGCCAAGGGGAATAACTTGAAACCATTGCAGGATGGGTGGCAGCATTTCAGCTAGCATACCAAGCAGAGACTTGTAACATGACACGCAAGTCACTTTCCAGAACAGTGATAGCAATGTGCTACAGACCCTTCCTGCAGATACTAGTAAGCCATGCCATTAAGGGGGAAAAGCCCAGATCTTTTCAACAACGCCATAGTTTGTGCAACAACTGATTGCATACAGTAGCGGCTGAATGGGGGGCAATTTCCAGTTCTAGTAATAGGAAATACAGGAACACTGATCAAACTTACAGGATCCGTCTCCATGCTGTGACCTAATACCCAAATCGAGGAAAAATTACATGGGAGACACTTCAGACATTGATGACATGGAAGGGGAATTCACACCAAAGGTGTGACGCATGAGATTTCAAAATTTTCACATAGTGAAATTAATGGTATCCGATGCCTCCCCGATCATTGGTGGTAGACACTCTTGGGGACTACTTGGAATTATCTAAACTATAATATGAGCTATCTTTTTTGATTAAACCTTTTAGAGCACTAGAATGATATTTCTGCATCATTACTCACTTCGTTTCCTACACACAGAACACATAGTCAGCATTATTCATTCATCCTGCAGCTACTTATGTTGCTCTCTTCCATCTAATTACTATTTCTCTTGTATATGCCATAAGCAAGTGAAAAAAAAGTTGCCATCACTTCTGCCCCAATCCCGATTGTATCTGACACAAATAAAACTCTTGAAGATATGATAATGTTCTTAAACAATGGTTTCCAAACACAGCTCATTTGCTGCCTGATAAACTGTGTTAACTGTGTCTTATAAATTGCTTTTTGCTCATTACAACATGTAAGTTACTAAGTGGTTTTGATGATTAGTGTATGAAAATCTTTTAATTATTGTGTGTTATTTTTCAGATGAATTTATATAAAGGTTATGTTGCAATATGCTCCAGTGAGACTCAACATTTGAATGTGATAAAGCGATATGTGGAAAATGCGTGGATATTGTGCATGAGAGAGTGGCGGAGATTACCATCTATTGTATCACATATCCATCTTCCTCTTCTGCAGGCTGCACAGCAGGTACGTTGCATTTATTTGATGCCTACAAGTTAGAGTGATCTGTGTGTGTGTGTTTTTTTGTGATGTGGGTGAAAAATCAATTTGATTGTTCATCACAGCAAACATTCCTAATTATTCGGTTCTAAACTTAATACTAACATTGTGCTGTAGATATATGTATCATAATTTTGATTTTGAGACTGAAACAGTTAATCTCTCCATTCCTTTTTTATCATATTCTCCATTTCATCATATTCCATCAGATGTTTCCTCAAGTTGGAGAATTTCATCATAGAGGCAAGAGTGAAACACGAGCGGGGAATACTAATATAGGAAGAGGGTGCATATGGTGCTGTCTTTTAAAGCATGCCTCATGTCAGTATAAATGCTCAAGTCAGGACGTGCACTTGTGCCCGCGTGCATGCATGCATAAGAACGCATGTACACCGATGTGCAGTCACATACAGACACGCCTGTGCACGTGGACGTACATAAGCGATCATGGGCGTGCACACACACACACATGGCAATGTAGCTTACTTATCAACTGATCCCGACACCCTCGGACCTCTAAATAGTATTCATAATATGTACTTTTAGATCTCGACGGGTGCATTTGCATCAGTATGTACTATCTGTTGGGGGAACTGATAAAAGCATCCCAAAAAAGGGATGATGATTACTCAATGAGAAAATACTACTTTGAGTTAATGATACAGCACTGTTAATGATAAAAATAATTAATTTGTTTAATTTCTGATATAGAAATATTGAACAAAAAAGAGTAGTAGTAGTAGTAGTAGTAGTAATAATAATAATAATAATAATAATAATAATAATAATAATAATAATAATAATAATAATAATTACAAAATTTCTAGCAAAATTATGTACATAAACTAACACAATGATATATACATAAAAATTGTTTATTTTTAAGAACTCTCTATCTATCTATCTATCTATCTATATATCTATCTATGTGTAAAAAAAATCTCAAAAACTTTCCTTATCTTATATGATAGTTATCAAAATAGTTACCCGATTATATAGATAAAGACAGTTTTTGAGATATTGAGGGTTAAGAAGTTTATATTTTACCAATTTTTTCTTGGAGTTGTGATTTATCATTGTTTCAGGGTACCCCTTTTAAGAATAAAAATGTATTGCCCGCAAATAAAATAATTTCTTTCTTTGATAAAATATCAAGTACATCATTTGTGTATAAAATTAAAGTAGGGTCCCAAATTACACCTTGCGAGATTCCACAGTTAACAATTAGTTCATCACCTTTTATTAATTGTGAAGCGATGCTTCAAAAACCAAAATGAAATAGCTAGTTAAGAAGAATTTGATGGTTGACAGTATCAAAGGCCTGAGCCAAATCCAAAAATACTGTCAATATAAATTACTACCAATAGCATCAAAGATTTGATCCACTGACATTTTCAAGGCTTCTTCAACGCTCTTCTTATTTTGAAACCCAATTTGATTTGGGTTAAGTCATTTCTGTTTGACAAACAATTCTTTCTAAATTTTAATAGTTTTTTCAAATATCTTGGTGATGTTGTAAATAAGAGATATAGACCTTAATTGGTAGGAAGTGTGGGATCTCCGTATTATCCCTGCTTTTTTCAAGTGGTTAGAATTAGTGGTGTCTGTATGCAGTGGTTAGTGGTGTCTGTATGCAATGTATTGAACAATTGTGCTAATGTTTTACTTTAACTAAGTTTTTTAAAATGATGCTGATCAATATCTTGTCAGTTCATGTAGATTGATGATTTTATGTTATTTATAACCTTCAGTATTTCTGTGTTATAAGCTGACTTTAAACTATAGACTATCATATACTAATTTTAGAAAAGGTTACATTTCACGAAATATCAGTTTTTGATGCCATGTCAGGGCCAGTTTTTGAAAATAATTTATTAACATGATTCGAGATATCTGATAGTTAGGACTTGTGTATATTACCATCAAATTCAATACATAATTTATTTATTGATTCTCTCACAATTTTTTTCCCTATCATTTTGTCATTAACGAATTTCTAAAGTTTCTTTATATAATTAAAAAGGTCAGTAGTAGTTTTCTTTAGTTTGGTGATTAATACGATAAGGATATTCTTGTATTTACAGTCATTTTGTTTTAACAAAATATGAATTGGATTTAATTTTAATTTTTATAGTGATATTTTTAATTTTATATGATTTAATCAAACCTTTAGTAATCCAATCGCTTCTAGGTTTATTTACGTTTGACTTCAGTTTTACTTGTTGACCTATTCATAGAGTCTAGATAAGTTTTGTAAAGGCGACATTAACTTCAGTTTCATGACAGATATAATTTCAATTGAATTGAGCAATTCTTTAACGAATTTGAAATATTTGAAATTGAGATTTGTGCTACTATAGACCTTGAGAAGTTAATATTGATGACTTTGGGAAGGACTGGAGTTAAACTATTATATAATTAACTGATAGTAAGTTCAGATAAACTCCATGAGTATTGAGTGTAGAAGCTGTCATATTATACCCTCAGTTACAGTGCTCTTTCTTTCATTATTTTTCATAATTTTCTTGATTCTTAATGTACCATTTCAATTTTTTCAGGTAATGGAGCTTCAAGAAGCAGCTCATGGCAGAGCTGGTACTTTCCAGGATATGAAAGCCATTGTTAAAAACTGGTTTAATCGATTGCCTGTAATATCAGATGACCTTAGTCACTGGAGTGATATTTTCACGTGGCGTCAACATCACTACACTCATATTGCGACTCATTATGAAGATCAAGATCAAACAGGAAATGCTCGCAAACTTGGTGTGCAGTCATCTGCTCAGGTATTATTGACCATTCTTTTAGTTTTTACTTCACAGTTTGGAATATATGTTAATCTCATAAATCTCTTTATTATCTTAAAGGAAGAAAAGTAGTGCATTTATATATGAGAATGAGTAACAATACTAATGCAGATAATATTGTTTCTGTTTGTGATTAGGCTTTGATTCATTTTGGTAAAATTGCAAGAAAACATGGATTGGCTGGTGTCTGCCTCAATACTCTGTCTCATCTACGTTTGCATTCTGTTGAAGAACCCCGTCTCATTGACTGTTTCCAGGAAGTGCGACAGCAAGTAAAATGCTATGTCCACAAGGCTACCTTGATGGGCAGAGGGGAATTACAGAAGGTAAATTTTATATACATGTATGCATGTATGTTGCGCAGAATGAAGTATACTAAAGTGTCTTGTCCTTTTGCTGTAATATTCTTCGTTACTGCGCAACAGTGTGTCGACATATCTCTTGTTGCATAATTTCCAGATGCTGTCGAGTTAAACGGTAAATATATTGCTAAGTATCACCAAAATCTCTTTTCTTGAGATACAGTCAACCAAAAATGCAAATTTATGAATTGATAGAAGTCAGGGCGTGATAAAGTCTATTCTCTCATATTTATTACAAGAATGAACGTTTCCGCATCAAAAGTGATAGTACTGGAGTGCTGTCAGCAACTGAGGGTGCATCCAGCCCACCCAGAAAATTTTGCTATTGTTGCAAGAAAGATCTCTCTGGTGGAACTCAAATTTCATACTGCCTTGTCTGCAAGGCCCCTTACCATCCCAGCTGTTTCAATCGATCAAAGAGTTTACCTGGCCGTGGTCTTTCTAATTGTTGCTCTTTGATTACCAACAAAAAATTAGATACAGACTTGGACATTGCTCTCAACAATCACATTTCTTCTTTCAAAAATGAACTTTCTGAATTTTTAACATCAAATTTGAAGAAATTAAAAAGAAACTAATGAACCAACAGACTGCTATCGATGACCTGGATATTTGAGTTTCGTGGAAAATGTAAATACTACGCAAGCCAACTCTTCTACCATGTCTGACTCCATTAACAATGGGATTGAAGATCGCATACGCTGTTCTGAAATCATTATTTTCTGTGACATTAAACCTGATCTCAACGTTCCTAATTTACTTGAAAATTTGAACAATATTATAGCTAACCTGCACTTCCCCACTGCTATATCTGTCATGAAGATTGGTAAGCCTAGTAATAACAAACCTCAACCCATGAAGGCCACTTTTTCCAATGGAGATGTTGCACTATTTATATTATGAAACAAAACTAAAATAAACACCCTATGTACTTCCATGAAAAATGATTTGACCCTGCAGCAACAATCCTATCTTAAAAATCTCTGAGTTAACTGGAACATAGAAACTCTAATGGTAAACACCACTTTACAATTAAATATGTACATGGCACTCCAAAAATTGTATCTCTGGAAGAAAAAAAAAAACTTAATTCGGGATATTCTCTGCAATAATTACATGTCTACTACCAAAATGTGAGAGGCCTATGCACCAAGATTATTGATCTTCAACAAGCAACTGCTATTGATTATGACGTTATTGTATTGGTTGAGACATGGCTAAACGAAAACTACATGGATGGTGAATTCTTTTTAAATAATTATAGGATTCACAGAAGAGATCACGACTGCCACTCCAGTTCATCTACAAGAGGAGGAGTCTTGATTTCTGTCAAGGACTCGATCAAGTGCTCAATTATTCCTAACATTCAGCAACATCTTGAGCAACTTTATGTCCAAGACCTCTCTTCTTTTCCCTCTGTACTTATCATAAGTATAGTTTACTTTCCGCCTAATTTGACATATCACTTTACCATGATTATCTACATGATTTGACTGTTATCCATGACAAATATCCTTCCTCCCACTTCCTTCTTACTGGTAATTACAACCTTCCAAACATACGTTGGAACGACATACTCTATGGACCCCATTTATCTAAATCTGTCTACTCAAGGCTATCAGTTAACTTATCTGCATTGGTTTTGTCTAATACTATTGCGTGTCTAAATTTTAGCCAACACAATGTTATATGCAATGATCGCAATTTACTAGTCGATCTCATTTTTTCTGATTTTGATTACATTGAGATTTTGAAATCTATCCATCCATTATTACCTTGCGACAAATACCATCCTGCTCTTTATTTTAAATACTCATTGATTTTCAATCATATTGACAATGTTGTGAAATTACCAAGTATGTTCTACGACTTTAAACATTGTGACTACAATTCTATCGTTTATTATATGAATAGCACGGAATGAAACTTTTACTTCCACAAACACAACATTAATTTTAATATATCATTTTTTTATTACTATTTATATGCTGTAATCGATCACTTTGTTCCAAAGAAACCAGTTTTTGTCAGTTCTTATGTGAGTTGTTTCTCCTCAGAACTTATTGGCTGTATCAGAGAAAAAAGAAGTTTCGCAAAATGTACTAACTAATAGATATGATTATTACATTAAATTTTCCACCTTGCAATCCGGAGTGTCTCATTTACAGCGTGTCATTTTCCATCTTATGTTCATAAAATTGAGCTGTGTAGTGTTATTGACTCTAAATCTTTTTCGAAGTTAATCAATACGAGTATTAGGCACACTCGGTTACGAGGTGTTATGCATTTGGGTATAAACTCCTGAAGTGCATGTACAGAAATTGCCACCTTATTTTCTACTCATTTTTTCAATCAATTTGCAAACCATGATATAGAAAGCATTCCAACTACTACTGCTGACTTTCAACATCATTCATCAGTCAGCAATATCAAATTCACGTTACCTGAAATTCTTCTTGCGCTAAATCATTTAAACTCTGATGTGAGCGCTAGACCAGATGAGATCCCTAATAGTTTTTTGAGCACTTGCAAATTTCCTCTGACACCACCACTATGTTATATCGTTAACCAATCCTTGGACTGAGAATTTTTCCCACAAATTGGAAATATAGTAAAACTTAGTATCCCTACATTCAAGAAAGGAGATGAAAGTGATATTTCAAATTACCATCCTATTTCCATTCTAAGTGCTGCTTCAAAACTTTTTGAGGAACTTGAGGTTAATGCTTTGGCACCGCACTTTCCCACAATTATTTCTGACTATCAACACTGTTTTACTAACAATAGATCTACTACAACTAATCTAGCTATATTTAAAAACTACATCATTAAAACGTTTGAGACCGGTTCTCAAGTCAATGCTGTATACATAGATGGTTTGCATATTGATTGAAACATTTGACCATGTTAATCATGACATATTGATTGACACATTGTCGTACTTAGGCATTAATGATCCACTTCTATCATTGATGTGCTCGTATTTTTCCGGCAGAAGTCAGTATGTTGTTAATGGCCATGCGTTCAAGCCATTTGCAGTTAGTTCTGGCATACCTCAAGGCTCTTATCTAGATCCAACTTTGTTTAATATTTTCATAAATGATCTGTCATCTGTTATCTAATTTAGTAAAATCTTATTGTTTGTCGACGATGCCAAAATTTATTCCAAGATTATTGATTTTAATGATGCCTACCACTTATACGAGGATCTTTCTGCCTTCTCACAGTGGTGTTCTGCAAACAAAATTGAGCTCCACATTGATAGGTGTTGTGCAATGACCTTTGCTCGGAGACATAATGTCGTGTGCTACCCATATTCTTTAAATGGTGAATCTCCGAACTCTGTCTCTAACATTAGGAATCTCGGAGTGATTTTCGACTCTAAACTTTATTTTAATATAATATTACTGTTACTGTAAATAAAGCTCTGCATTTCCTGGGTCTGATCTTGTGCAACACCAAAACCTTCCAGTCCACCGATATCTTATTAATTCTTTATAAAACTTTGAATTGTTCTATTTTAGAATACGCATCTGTCATTTGGTCACCTTATACTAATTTATCTATCAATTGTTTGGGAAAAGTACAATGTAAATGTCTACGCCATCTAGCTTTCAGAAATGGGATACCAATTCATAGATTCGATCATGACCTTTCCAAATTCTATAATTTATTTAAATTGGAAACTCTTCAGGATAGGAGAAAATTTTATGATTTAATTTTCTGTCATGAAATACTTCATGGTCTCATTAATTGGCCTAAACTTCTTTCCCTTATCTTTCTTCACATTCCTCAGACTAGAATGAAAATTCCTACCTCCTCCTGAGTGGATCCATCGTTTACTAATTACAGCTATTATGACATCTTCAATAGATTACCTACAACTGCTGATTACTATGCCAATAGGATTGATTTTTTCTATCACGTCTTTAAAAATGTTTGTTGTTGTCTTAAACTTTGTTTTCAATTCTGACTTTATCAAAGTGTTTTGAAAGGCAAATTATTATTATTATTATTATTATTATTATTATTATTATTATTATTATTATTATTATTATTAATACTCTTGATTCCAAATATTATATTCTTTTTTTTTCAACACTCCTATCCTTTTTATGGCTATGACTTTATTTCAATAGTTTTAATTTAAAGTTTAATAATGACGATATTTTGATATTTTGTACTTGCCTGTTTCTGTCATTATATGTGAAATTTTTCTTTGTGCAAAAGGTTCATCCCATTTATGGAAAATAAATGAAATAAAATAAAAATTTCTCTGTATTCGTGCACTGCCCTGTCATCTGGCAAACACATCATGTGCTCTGTGATATCTGTGAAATCCAAGCTGCAACAGAATTAAGAGATATCCAAAAAGCTTTCTACTAATATGTGTGCCTCTGAGACTGAAATTGCTAACGAATTTTGTATTTGTAATGGCTGCCAAATCTTCTACAGTTTAGCCGAAATTTTCCTCACAATTCTGAAAGGACTGTTCCAAAAAGATTAGTTGCCTCAAACCTTCAGGAGGGTGGAGAAGAATGAACAGAGATTAACAATCAAGATCTTGAATTTGGGAAGCCCTTTGACAGAGTACCCCACTGACTCGTACAAAAAAAAATTGGACCATCTTGAAATGAGAGGGAAATTGTTACGATGAAGTGTAATCTCCCTATATAACACATAGACACACTTGAACAGTCACCCATCTTAAGCTATCATCCAGTGTCTGATACCAACGAAGGAACCGCCAAAAGAACTTCATTTTGATCTGTTCATCGTTGTACTTGTAGGTTTATTCGCATCATCTGGCCAATATATGATTTAACTTGATTTTCCTAAAATCAGCCATTTTCTTTCTTTACCTGTGTTATAGGCATACACATCATACAGCAATATGGTGTTGCGAATTACAACAGTTTTTGTATCTGTCAAATTGCTGCAGTTCATGGCTAAACAAATAAATACGTCTGATTAAGAAGAAACCTGGAACGTTTTCTTTTCTTTTTTTACCTAAAATTGCTGAGCGTGTAAATAGTTCTCATTTGTGGCTGATTATTCAAAATCCTATTGCATATAATAACATTTGTACGTGTTTTCAGGGATTGGAAATTATAGATTCAAATTTGATGTACTTCAAGAAAGAAATGTGTGCAGAATTGTTTGCTTACAAAGGCACATTGTTGGCTCAGTTGGGTAAGTTTCGATTGCCTTATTTACACAATTCTTCTCCCTACGGCACTACTGCCTAAATCAAGCCTTGGTCTGGCAGGTGCGGTACTGCCAGTGTTTCGAAATCATGGGGAATGAGCCCGGAGCCTCAACTCGGATAAATAGTTGTCATAACTGTATGTGCTTAAGCTCCTCATTATTTCTTTTTTTACTCTATGATTGAATGAAAGTACAAATACGTACTTATGAACATGTATCCTAGCCCTGATTTAAACTGACTCAGTTGGTTCAGGGCAATAACTGTAGCAGTGTCTCTGACCGGAGGTCTTTGGGTTCGAGTTCCAACAGTTTAGCCACTGTTTGGAGGAAAATTCTAGCGGTCGGTTGCTCTGATTGGTAGATATTTGTGATTTCTCTGATCAGTACCAGGCAAATGCCGGAGCAGTACCCTAACAAATGGGCCTTACACGTACATTTTCATATACTACACATACTGGGAGACCAGTTGGGAGCTTAGAGCAGATCCTGGCTGAGGCAGTGTCCCGCTGTACCTGGAGGGAGAAACTCGCAACTGAAAGCGTTGGTCAGTGCTGGATCTCTAGTGGGAGCGGAATACCACCACTTCCATATGCACTACACTTATGTGGCTAATGACCAAAGCAAATGACATGATTAACATGGCGAACAAGGATAAAGGTTTTGATCTGTATATATGTTTGAATTAGTGAACTTAAATGAACTTTTGATGTGATATCAAGCGTGCTAAAACAAATATCGATATTACTAATTTTAAATAGACTGTGACGTTGTGGAGATAACAGTGAAAGACAGACACGTAGTTTTTATGTACAGATTTATTTACAGTCATTTACTACACAATACTTACACTATGGGAACTTTTACCGCTGCACTCCAACCACTGAGGCAAGCCGCACTGAGGCACACGTCCTCTTGTGACGGAGTTTTGGAGCCGGGCGTAAAAAGGGCAAGAGATTGACTTTTTCGAAATCAGTTACTCGACTTAGTCATCACGGATTCGATCTCCGCTATACCAGAATGAAACTTTCCAACATCGAACCTATGTTGCTTAATCTGCCTGGGTCACACGTGACACGGTTTCGGCGGAATCTGTCGACCGTGCACATGAAAAGGCCAGATGTAAGCAAATTTGATAAATTTGTTATACAGCATCCTGAGGTCTTCAGGGTCGCTTTGACACCCGTCAACCTAATTGGCAAACAACTTGAAGCTGCCGTACCAGTACTGAACAATTGTCTCAATTTCGCCCCTGTAGGCGAGCGTGCTCCTTCTACCACGGATGTTGTGGCAAGGGGGAAAACACGGTCTCCAAGCTGGAAAGGGGCTTGCATCTTGGCCCGCGCTAAATTGCCTCGCAGTAATTTGCCGCGCGTGGAACGAATAGTGTTGCTTGAGGACGTGAACCTACGTAAACGTGAGGACCTAGTCGTACCACCTGCGGACAAAACCAATGCCACCGTGGTCATGAAAAACATTGATGTTCGTACCACTCCAAAGTTGAGACGTTTCTGACGATAAGTACCATACTATCCTGCAGACTCTGACGGACGACATCAAGTCGTCTGTCAGGAATTTTGCCCATCTCATTGATGTACTGAAAGAGCTACGCGTAAACGAGAAGACGTTCTTATCAGCTTCGATCTCACGTCTTTGTTCATCGTGGTACAGTGAACGAGGCGGCCTCTGTCGTACGCAACGGACTTTGCTCCCGCGCGTTCACGACGGAAAGGGGCCGACTTGAAACGGAGTTCTGCCTCACGTCCACATTTTCCGAAAACGCGAACAACTCTGCCCAAGTTTGGGCGGCCCTTTCTCTCCTGTGGTGGTGAGCTTCTTCGTGAAAGCTTTCGAAACGGAAGCACCGGAGAGTGCCTTACTTAAACCAACACATGGCTCCGGTGTGTGGGTGATACGGTTGTTGTATTGCCTCACGGTCCTCATGCCTTAGCTGACTTCCTCCAGCACTCAATAACTCACACCTCAAAAGTTCACTATGGAGGTGCAAACAAAGGAAAATCACCTTTCCTCGACGTGCTGATGAATAGGAAAACTGAAGGCAGCCTACGGCGTAGTGTTTACAGCAAAACCGACCTATACTAACCGTTACCTACACTTTGGCTCGCGCAATCACCCGTCAACTAAACGGGAGATTTTGAAAACTGGCCATAAGAGCAACTAGAGGGCGAGAAGGAATTCTTAGTCGGTGGAATGGAGCTCCCCAAGAGCACATCTGGTGTTGACGGACACTGTGCTAACGCTGCCAACTAAGCCGTATGACAGGCAGCGATCACGTCTAGCACTACCGTCATCACTACACCTAGTAACGATGCCAACTGCAAGATAGCCATTCTACCATATATACGAGGAATCGCTTATAAAATGGACAAGCTTTTGCCCTCCACGCCATTTTTTTATTACACTCGCTTTCTGGCGAGGGAAGACCGCTTGGGATCGAAGAGGGTTAAGGGTCTGTGTAAATTATCAAACTCCCAAAAAACTTTAATACGACAAAGGCGTACCTCTACGCGAGGCCGAGAAACATCTATTTTACTTTCGGTGGCGTCAGGGCGCGGTCCCCGTTGCTCCTTGACGTCCGACCACAGGCGGATCTCCTTCCACCCCTCTCAGGTGCCCGTTGCCTGATTGGCCGATCGTCTGGCCATCCGGTTAACGGATGGAGGGGAGCCTCGCTCTGAATATACCCGTGAGCTGTCCATTGCGCTTATTTCGCCCCGAGGGAGGTCGCAGCCTGACGGCCGAAATTGCATCTGTGCCATGGACGCCGCGTCTCCCGGACAGCCAAGTAGAAATTGACTCCAGCTGCGGAAGCCTAGGCTTTCAAGAGATTAAGATATTTTCCAGGTAGAGCATGTTTAGAATGGCAATTATTTAAAGATTGATTTAATGTGTACATTGCTTAAAAATCAGTATATCTTTATGCTCATATGTCACTGATATCTTAGGAGTGTCCATTGTTTCTTTGAACTATATCTGATTTTAGTGTGCATTATGAGAATTTGTCAAGTGTGGTTTTGTGGTATTTTTTTCTTTATTTGTTTACTTTTTCTTTCCCAGGTCGTTCAGAAGAGGCAAATGAAGCTCTTTCAGCATCTGTCCAATTACATGAACAACTTGTCAAAGGATGGGGATTCTGGGGAGAGTATTTTGAAAAGTTATTTACTCGTGATCCGTCCAACATTTCTTTAGGGCAGTCTGCTGTTATATGTCTTTTGTATGCCTGTCGACTTAAGAATGAAAGCAAAGCAAGGAAATATTTAGCAAAGGTGGGTCTTAAGTACAATACATTGTGTTGTTATTTATAGTGGAGGTTTTTTGAATTGTTTGCTAATTAATATGTGAATTGTTGAAGAAGTGGGAAGCGTTTGAAAAGTCTTTTATAGTTCTTAGGAGTATTGTATTTTTTTTGTATTGCAGGTGTTGTGGTTGCTGACATATGATGATAGCAAATCAACATTAACTGCAGCTTTGCACAAATATGAAGTGGGCATTCCAGCATTGCATTGGCTGCCATGGATTCCACAATTACTAACATGCTTGGTGGAAAACAAGGATGAATATATTTTTAAATTATTAATTCGGGTGTGTATTTTAGTTTAATAATTAGATATTGATGATAATTTTTTGCTTCAAAACCTTACTCAATCTAAACTAACGTCATGTCCATGATTTCATTGTTAGTTTTTCCCCTGTAGATCTTTGGCCATTGCTATTGTTGTGTTTGTGAAATAAACAATGTGTACCTCAAAATTCATTGTATGCTAAATTCATCTTGTTAATATTTGACAGGTCACTTTTTTACATTTTCAATATTAAATGTTTTCTGGATTTAAAAAAAAATTAGTCAAACATTATTTTATGGCCAATAATGTGGCTTTAGTTTGTTTGGGTTATAAGAAGTCTGGGAAGAAGGGTATTGGCTATAACAAGTTTTACCCAAAAAGCTTTCCATCTCTAATAATACGAATTATAATACTATTAAACATGTATTGTAATAACTCTTACTGGTGTTAAAGGGGGGAAAAAAGAATGCAGGGGGAAAATTTTAATTATGATTTTTAATGTCTGAGATGCATTCTTGCATTAATGAAGTGTATTCAAGTATCAGAAATTGCATATATTAGATAAAGAAAAAAATCATATTTGTGTTGCAAAGCTTTTAACTTGTTAAAAATATGTCCTCAGAACTTCACTATCAGGTTAATGTTTTCTTATGTACTGTACACTATTTTTGTGCAATAATATTTTAGAAAAGCTTTCTTTCGTTCTAATTTTTTACACGAGTAGTAAAAATAAAGTTGTGTAACAGTGCAGCAGATATTCGCAAATTTTTGACAGAGAAACTTTAGTAAATCACTTCATCTAACACGTTTTGTTGGTCCTTGATACCAAAAGCTTGATTGGCAGCAAAACGATTGTCGGTCCATTCATGGTCAATACTAGCAGTTGGTTAGTACTAAATCATTCAGATGATTTTCTCCAAATTTGAAATTACCTGATTGGTTTGAAGAAACACCAGGCCCTGCAAGTTTGAGACAGATATTTTGCTTTTGGGGGTACTTTTAAAAGAAGCCACAACATTTTTTTAAATTTTCTCAAAAATGGATCTACATTTTTGAACTCTTTTTTTGTCTTTGTAGTATAATGAACGATTGAAAGAGTTACTCAGTCTCATTTTCATTGAAATTCCTCATTTTCTGAATAGAAAAAAAAAAAAAGATCCGCATCAACCTACAATTATAATATTGAAGATAGGGGTTTGTTTCCTGTAATGAAATATGTTCTTCAAATATGGATAAGGTCCTATACAATGTTTTGGAAATATGAGTAATTTTCATGCAATTTTGCAAGAAATAAAGTTGAGTTTTAGAGAAGCATTTTCTCAAAAAGGCTCCAAATGTTTTTTTTTAAATACTCTCCTTGTACAAAAGGTGGTAAAAAACTAGAATTGCTCCCATTTTCAGCAAACGGCGAAAATATTAACATAGCAAAAGTACATTATTTATGATAGTTGGAATTTCTAAGTTGGCAATAATGTGAGAAAATGTGTCCTGTTGTAGCTCCACCAGTTTGCAGGTAAAGTAGCATTTCATTTAAAAAGAATTAAAATGCATCTAAATTTGAGAAAAAAATAGGTATATAAATTTGAATTTTATGTACATATGTACTTGTAATTTACTGTTTGGATTAAACCTATTGCAATCAACATTTAATATGTTGAATTTAACAGTTTACTAGTGCTTCATTGTCATATTCTTTTATCATTGGTACACATGGTATACGAAGTACATTTGCATAAATATGAATCTGCGCGAGAATATTGCTTTGAAAAAATACTTCACATGTAGGTTGACCAGTAGAGTAAGAGCTTATTTACTTACTTAACAGTTTAAGTAGCACAGAATTTTGGAGTAAGAATGAAATGTTGAGGTTACAAAGGAAGCTGAATCCAACATTTTGAAATGAGTACCTGAAAGACACTTCTGTATCAATTTCACACATTTTTTTGTACAAATTTATCAAAACGTACAGGTTGAGTCTGTATGCTCTGAGATCGTTCTGATTATGTGATTTATGTTGCTCGTGTTTACCCATGTTGATTCATGTTGCTCCAGTGTTTTGTTTACTTTGCAGTACCCCATGTTTTTATATGGCCATGATAACATTGTAGTGTACGTACAGCAGAGTCTTATTTTGCCTTACATGTACTCAGGAAAGTTACACATTCTAATCAATAAACAGTAAAGGGGTGTACTGGTTTCCATTTATGTGTGCTTTAAAGAAAATAAGATTCACTTTTTGACTTTTTTGTGGGTATTACATTTTTATTACCAATGATTATTTATTTAAATGAAATGCCTAGCATTGTTATTTCAGTTTTTCCTTTTCTCATCCATATTTTGTTCCACCCATGTCATAAATTAGACATACAACCTTGAAGACAAGCAAATTTCTGAAATGGTGGCGGTAATGTTTGGTAAATTGAAGAGGCTGTGTCAGATCTAAAGTAAATTCCATATTGTTGCAGGTTGGTCGAATGTTTCCTCAAGCTGTGTACTTGCAAACAAGGACTATGTTTTCTACATTAAAAATTGAACAACAAATAGAAAATAGATACCTAACCGCAGAAATGCAAGCCAATATAAATAAACAGGTAATGTTATATTAATACTGCACTAATTTTTCAAATTGGATTTGTGATAAATGTTTGTCATCTCGTGAATTCTTTTGTTTCTAGGGCACTGGTGGTAGTTCAGATTCCCCAGGTGAGCATAAAGTATTACAATCATGAAATGTAATGGATTAGAATTGTGATAAGTAGGTTCTCTTCATTTATGTGAATGTAAACTTTATTTGACATCTTGAACTTACAAATGTATTGTAAAGACACTATTTTATCACTTTTCAATGTAGATATGTTTTGCAGGTATATAATTGCAGGCAAAATAAGAGTACAGGTCACGTTCAGTGATATCAAAATTTCACTCGTGTTATTTCAAGTCAGATTTCTTGTAATGGTAGGATTTTGGTATTAGAAATCTGTACTATTCTGTTCTAGGTTCAAATCCAGGTAGTACAGGGTATGTTTTGCAGACACCTCAGGACATACCTGCCACAGAGTCTATGAAGTGGTGTACTAGTTTCTTGAATGAATTAGGAACTGTGCATCCTACTGTATTGTCGTCAGTGGAGGGTATTGTTGAAGGGATTGTTGACCAGGTAACGGTTTTGTGTTATTTCTGTTTGTCCTTTGACTGAAATGAAAAATCTAAAAATTATTTTCCTCTGATAGTTGGTGCGATTCAGAGAGACTTGGTGCGAAGAAGTGTTACGGCAATTGCGTCAAGGTTTGGCTAAGTGCCAAACCATTGCATTTGAAAATAGAGGTGCTGTAGCTGAAGCCACTATTACTCAACATGTCCTCAACTTTTTGAAGAAAGTAGTGGATAACTTTGGTGTTGGCATTGGTATGTTTGATTATGCAGAGTTTGAAACTGCAATCGAATATAAATTCTTTGACCAAAGACCCTGAACAAGAGATTTTACTACAGACAGTAATCAAAATAAAAATTAAAGTTTTATTTTGGACTGAGAATCTTTTAACATGTTACAATGTTTATTGGCATTACAAATCCCCACTGATTCGTGTATTGGAGTAAAGATATCTGATTGAAAATGGGCAAATCAATTATGCATTCAGTATTTGTTAGTTTTAGAAATATTGGGTGTATTAATAATAATAATATAATAATATGAATAATAATATAATAACATTTATTGTATCACATGTACAATTACAATCGTGTAGGACGAGTCCATATGATGTCTTGGGTGGAGAGTGAAGTTACATTACTGCCCGTAAGCGAAACAAGGGGCCATCTCAGCATTTGCTCAAGGGACCAGGCAAACTGTCCAAAAAACCTGATTGAGATAGGGTCATTGGCTTAAGAATTATACTACAATACTTATAACAAATAAAGATATTATACAGTAGATAATTATTTTTAGTATCAAATAATTTAACACGTCAAGATATGTACAGTTTCATGTTTGAAGTAAAAGTAAAATTTACTAATTATTGTCAATTTACTACTACTACTTGTAATAATAATAATAATAATAATAATAATAATAATAATAATAATAATAATAGAAATTAAAAAATAATACATGATATCAATTATTGTAGCAATCACTTATACTTTAACAAAATAACAAAATTTGAAAATAGTATTTATTTTTGTGTATTGTCTGCTTGTTTGTGTATTGAAGATGAAGCAGTCAAAAAGTCTCATGACTAGAGACAGGATTTCCATCCTCTATCAGATGCTAAAATGTGCATGAAAATATCCACTATCAAGTGGCCAAATGTGCACAATGTAGGGGGGAAATGGATGAAACATGCGCAATCAAATGTTATTTTACTTACTTTTTAGTTATATTACCTTTTGTAAAAGTCCGCAATTAACAATTTTTCTAGTCTGTTGTGTGTGAAATTCATTCTTTTGTCAGAAAAAATTGTTTTTGAATGCAGAAAATAATCTTTTTACATCAGAAGACGTAATTGGAGCATACTTCAAAGACAAAATCTAAGTCAGGTCAAATTTTACATTTTCTGATTTTTCAGCATAAGTAATGTTTTTCATGTTTTGGAGAAATTTCAAGTCACAATTTGAATTTAATGTTATGTAATTTTTCCGTAGCTGTCTTGCCCAAATCTCCACTCACTAATTACAGATATTTCAATGCTTACAACAATTTTTAATAACTCCACTAGATGAAGACCTACTGATTCTCATTTCTGAAGATGACAAAGATAATTTTTTCTTCATGTGTATGGATCCGGGATGTCCTGTCTTGTATATATTTCTCTATAAATCTCTTAAACATTGGATTTTCTACTTTTTCAAATGGTATATTTGCTTCTATTAAGGCATCACACATTTCTATTAGAAATTGAATTGTTATAGGCTTTAATGGTGCCTCAGTAGCAAAAGTTTGCACTGAGTGTCAGAGTTTCTTTCCTTTCTCTAGCTTCGTCCCTGTGAGAAGTAGATGCAAGGTGCTGGCACACTGCAAACATTTTATCTGCATAAATAAATTCAAATTATATAGAGCTACATATTTCTTAAGAATAGTGTGAGAATTGTGCTACAAATTCCCATGTTTTGTAACAAATTTCACTCAAAATTTTACGTAAATTAATGTCAGGTTTAATTTTAGACAAACATACTTCACTAAAATGTAGTTAGCTAAACATTCAGGTTCAAACTGGGCAGACATTATATGGATTTGAATTTGAGATTTGGTCATAGAAATCAGGTTTAGTAGCAACTTGTTTTGCCGTATTCCTTTCTCTTGTTGATAAAAATATTATTTTTGCAGACACAGTATTGTTACTAATACTTCAAATGAAATTAAAAGAAAAAATATGAAGTACACCACAATTAACAATTATTTTCAATAACATTAAAAATAATGGAGGTAAAATTCTGTAACTCGAGAAAAATGTTTGGGAAGAATGTGCATATTACCACATACAATAATTATTTAAAAACAATGGTTTTAAATAAACATTTTCTGGAACCTCAGAAAAATCTCAAAACTACTAAAAAATTTTTTTTGTAAAGGTAGGAATAAGCCTATCTCTTGTAAATTTGAGGTTGAAGGAAAGGAGTCCCAAGATGGTTTATAGACAGACACAACTCTCCTCAATTTAGTTTTATTACGTCTCTATGTTACAATTACTCGAATGCGCAACAGTTCGGGGACATATTTTCCCCATCCCCAGGCTAAAAAGAAAAACTGAAGAAAATAATACAGTTTGAAAGGTTAAATTACGTCCAGTACAAGCTACTGGACGTACCATCACGGTCAGACAAAGTGTAATGCTTAGAGGTCTTGGAAGGTAAGAGCTATTGTACGTACAGACAGGAGAGTGGAGGGCAAAGGAGGAGAAGGGAAGAAGGAAGGGGGGGGGGGATTTATAAAGGGGAAGGAGAGGAAACAAAATGTGGTATGAGGTGAGAAAATTATTGTTATGCAATATCAGAAAAACAACCTAAGTTTCAGTGTAAGTCTTGCATCAGTGTAATAAAGCATCATAAATTTTGGTGAAATTATAGCTCTCAATGACAGTATTAATAGTCATGAGTTTTAATCTGTAAGGTTTCAGATACCAGACGTGAATACCTCCATGTTTCCACATCAAGAATTGTTGGATTTTGGAAATCAAAAGAATGGTTAAAATTGATTCGATGGTTTGAAACCAAATTTTGCCTACAAGTAGGCTCATTCACATTCCTATTGTGTTCCTTCATTCGCACAGAAAGCTTCCTGCTGGTCTGACCTAAATACACTTTAGGGCAATCATTACGCTTAATAGAGTACACCACATTAAGTCTAAAGATGGCACATAATCTTTAATATTCCTGATAAAAAATTTTCTTGTTCATCGCCTTAGTTATAACCGAGCAGCCATATTTCCCATTTAGAATCCGGTCAAGTTCATTATTGATTGCCGGTACAAATGGCTACAGATTGTTTACCACTTTCTTCCTTGGATTTGTTTGAATTATGTGATTGTATTTTTCAAAGCATGTTTCTCCTTTTCATATATTTTTTAATAAACATGTCAGGATAATTGTTCCAAGTAAGTATTGCTTTAACAATTTGTAAATTTTCCTGATGGAATCTCTTGTCAGATAATTTGATGGCCCTGTCAATGAGATTATACACTATTTCAGTTTTGGTTTTTCTGTTATTAAAAACAATGATTAGCTAATAACAAATTGGTTTAGGAAAGAAGCCTATGCTGCCCAGGTTCTTAATTTTACATCCCTACACCCCAGAAAAGGATATAAGTGCAATATACTATTTATTCAAAATACGCATCAGTTTTAATATTCACAAATTATACGTAGAAATCATCACAAAGTACATAATACGCTAGATAGATGTCTAAATATGTAGTATTAATTTTAAAAAACGTCCAAACATGCATTATGCATGAATTTCTCCAAAAAACTACCAAAACATGCAGGGAAAAAGTATGCATTTTTAAAAGAAGTTGTTCATGAAACATATATTTACATAGTTTGAAATCTCTATGAAGGATAAATACAAAAAACATGCATTTGCTTGGAAATCCTGTCTCTACTCCCGTTATGTCTCATTTCATTGCTTATTGTTACTATTCTTTTCTTTGTAATTTTCTTTATCCCATTTCATCATTACCACTTTCTTCTTTTTCTTATTTTCATTAGCTCTTTTGCATTTTGCTAGATCTCTTCAACTTTTGAGATAGCATTTGAAAGGGTGAAATTATTATTTGAAGCAAAAGACAAGGGTTGAAAATGTGATCTTGTTTTTCAGATTTAAAGGCCCAACAGAGTTTGTCTAATGGTGCTTCTGAAAGCTTAGCAAATCGTGCTCAAACAACTGTTCAAGATCATGAATTTGAATCAATGAAGCTACATTTCACTAACGACTTCGATTTTTCTAAACCTGATGCAACAAAGCTTCATAATTGCATTCAAAAACTCTGGAAATGGATTAATATTTTGGATGCCAAAGTTAAAACATTACCAAAGTATGGGAAATTTTTAAAATAAAATTATTTCATTAACTGATAGATTAATGGAGATAATCAATCATAATGTAATCATTCTGTATTTTTTTTCATAGGTCATTTCTTATTGAAAACAAATGCAGATTTCTCAGTAATTTTAGTCTCCAAACAGCTGAAGTAGAACTGCCTGGTGAATTCCTCTTACCAAAGGTAATGTAGAATCAAGGATTCTTTTGCAACTTCTTGTGACATTTTATAAATTCTGAGAAAACTTATCATTTAATTCACTATCACTTTAAAATCGTGGTGCTTTATATCATTATTAAAAATACAGTATTTCAATTGTTCATTAAAACCACAAAATTACATTGGCACTGAAATACAACCTAACATGTTTTTATCAGAGTTTATAAAATGTCACTTATACCATTCTGGTTTTCCCCTATTCACATGTTGTATTTTGAAATAGACATTGCTGGGCAAAATTATGCATGTGCCATTTTCTTGGATGCCAGCCAACTGGAGGCATAGAATACACAGAATGATTTACAGGCATCGGGATGTAAATCTTGTCTATCTTACTGGTAACTTTGTATCACCCTTGCACCTTTTCAGCCAGTGGAAAGCATGATATTCTCACAAGCATTTATGCTTTTTGGGGGTTGTTCAAATATTTCATTCCCCCACACCTACTTTAGGAGGACAGGAGCACAAAACGCAATATAAGGCATTCAAGAATGCTACGATTTATTCTAATTTTAATTAAATTTAGATTCATAAATTGGTGACCAAATATTGCATAGCAGAACTAATTACTTCTGTTTGTTTGTTGTTGTCTTTTTTCTTTTAACTATTCTATTCATTACTTTAAACTTCGTTAATTTATCATTCCTTAGTTCAGATAACATTTATTGCTTAATTTGCCCTAACTCACTTCGCAATACAAAGCAGTTTGAAGCTAGAAATAGTTCACTCACAGTTCTCACATTTGTGGAAGCATTACTGCAATCAGTATGAAGAGAGAAAGAGAATTGAATTGAATTACTGCCATATTTTACGTGGCGAGACTCAGGCCATGATGCCTGCTCTTCCGTCTGACCACGCAAACCTTTCACCAACTTGTAGAGAAAGGGGGTATTTCTGGGGCGAGAAACAGGTGATTTCAATTTAGCTCAGAGGCGTCATTTAGGCTTGAGGATCTTTTACATGCAAGTAAATCTACTAACATGGGACAGCCGGCTTTACTTCCCCTCCGAAGGAAGGCGTACGAAGGATTTTTTCGTCCTTAAAAATCCACGGCTTCGATCGGGTTTGAACCCGCCAACTTGGGTACAACAGTTCGATACGCTAATCGTTACACCATCACCGTGCGCAGAGAGACAGTCTTCCTCCTTCCATGTGAGGGTGGTGCAGGAATGCTGGGTTAGTGATCCACCACAGTCTGCTATATGCAGTCTCCAGCTATTGGGTTCAGCTACCTGCTCTTGCCACTTTCTCCCTCCACTACCTTGTTATTTTTCAGTACTCTATTAATTCATGGATATTTTCCATTAATGTCCTTGTGGGGTAGATTCCAATCAATTTAACTCATACTACATGAATTAAATTAACTTAGGCATTTAAAACTACACCTTAGTAATTGTTCATTACACAGTCTATTTCCATTAATTCACACTCCGTAAGCTCTCATTCTTAGTCTGATGCTCACTTGTTGCTCAGATGTTACTGCATTCTGCAGCATTGCCAGAGACTAAAGCTCTAGAGTTCTCTCTCCTCCTTTCAGAGGAGAATGATTTGTTCACACAAAGCAATTGTCTCCTATCCCTTATCAAGACCTGATGCCCTACTTAGTACTACTTAATTGTCAAGCTCTCCCTAATTTCACTTAGCGCAAAAAGGGGGCATACGATTCTATTAACATTCCAGCTCAAAATTCTTTCACATCTATATTGCAGTCTCTTTGTGTGGTCACTGGTGAGGCTACAACTAATCCAAAAGTAATTGTTGATGTCTTTGACTAATGTTTTACAATAGAAGCTGATAGTTCCTTACCTAATTTCAATGCATCACCAACTGAGGAATCTTTACAGGACATAGCCTCATAAGAATCTGAACCCTTCTGTGACCTTCTAAACAGCCTGGATCCAGAGTCTGCAGCTAGACCAGGCGAATTCCCACCTCTTCCTGAAGGAGCATTCATTGGAAATTACCCCAACTCTACATAAAATTTTTCGTTAGTTATCAAGATTCTGAATTCCTACTAGCTGATTGGAAAACCACGGATATCATATCTATCTTCAAGTAGGGAAGTAAAACGAACCCCAGCAACTTCAGGCCAATTATATTGATTAATCCAATATGTAAATTCTGGAGATAATTATAGCTAAATGTGAACAACTGAATCATATCATGGCAACTGGATGTATCCCGCCAAACCAAATCAGTAATGTTCCTGGAAGATTTTTAACACAATTTTGATTACTTTTCTCTTCAGGACTGAACTGCAACAATCGACAACAATGACGATGGGTAGATGGGAAGATCAGTAGATGCTTTTTGTACCCAAACTTTTCCATCAATATCATATTTTTCATTGACTCTTTTTCTTGTTTCCACTGAAAGGGAAACATCAAGAGTTGGTCCTTGAGAAAAATGTGCCCCTCAGATGAGTGCCCCCTGACATGGGTTCTATTCATACAACTACATTTTAGGAAGAATCCCTTGCTGTCTTTTTTCCAGAGGATGCTGTAGGTAACGACTCACAAGACTCCTTCTGTTGCTCAGTATGACCATTTTCCCAGGGTTTGAATCCATTTGATTTTGGAGATCTCTGAAAAATATTGTTTATGTTGTTTATTGTTTTTATTGTTTATGTTGAAAATATTGTTTATGTATTTTAAGTATGCCAGGTGATATGCAGTGATGCGTGACCACAGTATGCAGTTGTATTTCCAGTGACTCTCAACTGTCCACATATCCCTCCAGTAACAACTGCAAATGTGCATTGCAGCTAACGAACATTTTGAACAAATACTGAAGTGAATCGTGAAGCTATATTTTATTATTTTATGGATTTTGTTTTGGTCTTGTTGTACAAAGAAATTAAGCATTAAGGAAAGTTTTTTTTATTTAATGTTTATCTTTTGGCAATGTATTTACTTCTGTGGAGTATTTTTTTGTATGTGATGGATAGTGTGTAATTGATTGTGGTAATAACAATTAACTTGTTACATTTGTTTATTAAATTAGTTTTGAATTTTCATACAATTTCAAACGGTATTCTCATCACAAAGACCAACAAAAATGATTTTGAAACTGAAGTAGACTTTGAAGGATTTTGAAATAATGTTTCTGGAGCATCTGAACAATGAATCAGAAAATATAGGAGAGTATTGTGTAATGTATTCTGAGGCACTTAATAGAGTGGAAAATCTAATGTTTACAATGTTCTTTCATGTGCATTCCTTTTTATCTCTGTAGTTTTCTGAAACCTGTGTTACATTTACTACATCCTATTTTAATAAGTTCTTCCTACTTGTGTGAAACCTATTACTATATAACAGAACATTGAGGTATTTTGTTACTTCTTTGCAGCATTCTCCTTATTATATCCGTATTGCAAGATTCATGCCCCGAGTTGACATTGTCTTAAAACACAATTCAGTTGCGCGGCGATTATATATAAAGGGAAACAATGGAAAGTGTTATCCATATCTTGTTGTGAATGATTCTGGTGTGAGCGATGCTAGGCGTGAAGAGAGGGTCCTTCAGCTCATTCGAATGTTAAATCAGTATTTAGGAAAACAAAAGGTAAGTTCTTCATCAATATCATTTCAAAAATATACATAATTACTGTGTATTTTTTATTATTTTGTAAAAAAATTTCTAACTTCATTTGTGTTCAATATTTTTCAGGAAACATTGCGTCGGTTTTTGCATTTTACTGTTCCTAGAGTTGTTCCAGTTTCTCCTCAATTGAGGCTGGTGGAAGACAATCCCTCTTCTATATCACTTCTTGATATTTACAATGCAAATATTACTAAAACTCATAAAGAGCATGACGAGCCCATTGGTCTTTACTACGAACATTTAGTTGCAATACAGGTGAGAAAGATTGTAATAGTTTCCATCGCATTCCATCACATTAAATGAAAGCCTTTGTAGAAAGCTAATCAGAGAGTAATTTGCCAGCTGAACTGTACTTTAAAGCAAAACTGCCAATGCCTTTTGTTCTGTTAGAGTAAATTATTTTGCAAATACCTCTAAATTGTGATGAAGCTTATTAATGATGAGGTTTTAAAGATGTTATATATATTTGTGCCCAAATTACATTAAGTAACATGTATGCTTAAATGTGTTTTTGGTGGTTAAAATTTACAGTACTACGTCTCTTTTACACTGTTCAAGAATCTAACACAACATGGTGTTATTCATGGGAAAGTGTATATTGTGGGAAATTACATTTGCTTATATAATAAAGTAAAACTAGTGGTGGTTCAACAGCACATTCTTTTTCACAGTATTTCTAACTTTGCAATTTCGGAAAATTCAGGAAGTTCAATGAAAATTAGACCTCCACCATTCTTTCAAGCATCCTTTTCTTAGTCTGTGAGAGAGAAAAATTGAGTTACTTTTGAGATTTTTTATAAATAAATTCCGTTACTTTATGCACAAATTACATGAAAACTATTCATTATATCAAAAGCGTGTACACGACCGTTTTTAAAGATCTATTTTTTAGAATGCAATTTTTGCAATTTTGGGAAATGGAATTTCAACAAAAATGAGATGGGTGCATTTCTTTTAAGTTCTTTAAGTTTATTAACCAAATGTAAATTGTAATCAATAATGCAGAGCTGTTATTCAGTAAATTTTGAAAATATTGTTAAGGCTTGTTGTAAAGTACCCCCAAAAATCAAAATAGTCATCTCAAATTCATAGGGCCACAACTTTCCCGAATGATCAGTGAATATCAATTTTGGAGAAAATCGTCGAAACAGTTTAGGTGCTCACGTGAACAGATAGAGAGGCAGACAAACATTTTGCTGTCAATCGATTTCTTGGCTTCAAGTACCCATAAAACCTGGATTCTGACTTACAGACTAACTTACTGACACACTAACTTACAGAAATATGATTTTTCCACTTTTTCGTAACCATGGCCAATACAAGATTTTCTATGTAAAAAATGCCAATTTCTACCACAGCATTATAAGACTTTCTCTTGACTACATAAGTACTGAGTAGGAAGGTGAGAAAGTAAAAACAATTTTAACTCACTTTTATTAATGGCTAACTTTTAATGTGTAAAATTTTTATTTCTTTCACCTCTTCAAAATAATCTAATTTTACCACTTCCAAAAACATTTAAAAAAAGAAAAAATCTTTCTGAATCTATCCTTCGATAAAATGGGCGTAAAAGTTTTTTAAAAACTGAACACAAAAATTAAGCATGTTGCATGAACACAAAAATTAACAATCAGCTTGCATTTCAATTTACTAAAGTACACTATGCAAGAATAATGCAAAATTTTATTCCTTTGAAGCTCTGACAAAATAAAGATGCTGGGCACCAACATGTGCACTTAAGTGCTCTGCAAGAACATACTAATTAGGGTTGATTTGATTTGATTTGAATTTGCCTTATTTTACGTGGCGAGACTCGGGCCATCAGGCCCGCTCTTCCGTCTGACCACGCAAATTTCGCTACGCTCCTTTCACCAACTAGGAGAGAAAGGAGGTATTTCTTGGGCGAGAAACAGGCGATTTGAATTTAGCTCAGAGGCGTCATTTAGGCTTGAGGATCTTTTACATGCAAGTAAATCTACGAACATGGGACAGCCGGCTTTACTTCCCCTCCGAAGGAAGGCGTACGAAGGATTTTTTTCGCCCTTAAAAATCCACGGCTTCGATTGGGTTTGAACCCGCCAACTTGGGTACAACAGTCCAGTACGCTAACCGTTACACCATCGCCGCCGCAGGGTTTACTGTACATGGAATAATTTTGTACTTACCCAATCACAAATGATCAAGTATTTTTATACGCTAGGAGGCAACAAACAAACAAGATCCATAACTCAATACCTTACCCTTCTCTTGTGTGTAATCAGGGAAAACGTGTAAATAGTGGGAAATTTTAATTTTGAAAGTACAGAGTAGTGTAATTTTACTTCAATAAATTATAATTGTGAACATTCAGGAATTGAAGGGACTGAGAATAACTGGGAATCATGAAAGACTGGGAATCATAAATTCTATGAATGTAAATGAAGTTCTTTTTCTGTATTTCCCTTGATTTGTTCTCATTTATAACTTTGTTTTCAGACCCGTGGATCTCAAGCTAGTATACAAGTGTTGAGAGAAATTTTGCAGAAAGTTCAATCAACTACAGTTCCTCGAACTGTGTTACGTGATTGGGCAATAAGAACTTTCCCTGGGGCTTCTGATTATTGGACTTTCAGGAAAATGGTAATTTGTTTTCAGATTATCTCTGATATTAAACAAGTCTTCTCCTGATAAAGTGTGTTGAACTGACTTCAGACAATAGTACTTTGTAGTAAGCCAAAAAATGCTATTGTGCAAATACTTATAATGAAAGATTGAATTGCAATCATTTGAGGATAAGTTTTCATTTAAGATGAGGAACATTGAGTTATAATCGTAAAATACTGTGATAAATTGATGAAATACTGTGATACTCATTGCTATGCATAACTACTTCATGAAGCTTGTCAAACTTCTACGAAATTGTGTTTCCTAGTAAAATTCAGATAATTTTAAATGTTGTTTAAAAAATTATATATATGCTATTTCAAAAGTTTAATTTGTTGTTCAGTTATCATTTGCTGCCATATTTCATTGCGATTTAAAAAATTGTGTTTTTAGCCAACAGTATTCCACCCCATTTTTGTGCTCATTTGTTTTTAAATGAGATGAATTGCCTTATATTCACCTCTGCTTTTACCCCACAGTTCACTCTTCAACTGGCTTTGGCATGCTTCTCTGAATATGTATTTCATCTTTCACGCATGAATCCTGACATGATGTATTTGCATCAAGATTCTGGTCTTATGAACATCTCTTACTTCAAGTTTGATGTAATGGATGATGCAGGTACTTAAGTTTTTAACATTTGATCATATTTATGTTTAAATACACTATTGTATTGTTTATAAAAATAATTGGAATTTGTTTGGCTGTGTTGCTTGCCTAGTGTTCATCACCTAGTTTCCCTTTTTAACGTTGTTGTTTCCTCTGTTTAATCACATAATTTTTTACTAGGGAATCTGGATTCCAGTCGACCTGTTCCATTCAGGTTGACGCCCAATATAGTTGAATTCATCAGTATGATTGGTGTTAGTGGACCTCTTACTTCAAGTATGATTGCTGTTGCTCGTTGTCTGGTCCAACCAAATTACAAAGTACAATCCATTTTGTTGGCCATTCTTCGTGATGAAATGATTGCATATCATAAAAAGGTAACTTTATTTAATACATGTGGGTTTCTTGGAACTATAACTTCAAAGTAGAAGTCAGAAATAAATGCTAAATTTTTGTAGAATTATAGAATAATTCTTGATATTCTGCCTTACAACAGGACAAAATCAGGTTTCATACTTATCCCATGTTAAAGTTTTTAACAAATACATTAATATTAGATTAATATACTAATGCCCCTTTTGGAAAAAAGGTTTTAATGCTGGATTTTCCTTCAAAATTGTAGAAACCAGACTGTCAACAAGAACCAAATTCAAATCCAGCAGAGGATAAAGACCTTCTTATTAATATGGTTACACGAGCTGCATCAACTATAATGACACGACTCAATTCTTTGGCTAATTTTGATGGTGTGGAAAGCAAGGTAAGCACAGTCACATAAGTTATTAGTTCAGATGATAAACTGTTGACGCAGAAATGCAAAATGAACTTGAGTTATTATTTTTAAAGTCTGTTTGTTTGCACATTTTAAAACTTATTAATCAATACATAGTGACGATCCAATGGGGGAGGGGTTAATAATGTAGCTTCAGCATTAGCACCCCACTTACGAACTACATTCACACCACATACGTTTGCGATATTCTCACAACCACAAGTTGTGGCTCTCGACGTAAGAGCTGTGCTGTACAATGATGTACAGCATTGTTTCTCTTCAGGTCTGATCAAAAGCCATGCTAACTTAAAATTTTGTATCTCAGAGAACCCCAAGATTATTCAGAGAGATAATTCTGAGAGAAACATGTTTATTTTAGGCTATGTTTCAGTTGCAATGTAATTTCATGGTGTTAATGATGCTTCATGACTTCACAATAATATTGTATTCAATAAACAGTTTTCTCAGAATTTATAAAATGTCACTTTTACTGTTCATATAATACTACTGCAGATGGCGGTATTGAATCAAACCATAATCACTTAACTTTAAGTACAAAATGGCATTATTAAACCATAAAATATTAATTAAACATATCAACACATTAATTTTGAGTACTGAAAAAACATCTTACTTCTCTAGCCATCAAAGTTCACTGCCCTCTTGCCTCCCTCACAGCAGTTGCCAATCAGCTATACTGACAATCATTTGACTCCAAATAACCATTTAGCCATTGTTGCAATGTATTCAACGCAAGTATACTTTGATCCTTTTAACGTGGCATCTCAAGGTCGCGCACGACAAGGGAGAGGGTTTCCAGTTTTATTGTTTAAGCGGCATTTACATAAATTGCATTTTTCACGTTAGTGAGTATTGACAAGTTGAAGATCTAAAAATAAAAATAAAACTCCCATAACCCCCATATAGATGGTCATAGGAAAGGAGGTGAGGGGAAAAGGGTGTGATGAGGACAGGTGACGTTTACTAAGGTTTTTTTTTAATGGGATACTTTTTGTGGTGAAATATAAAGGGCCTGTTTATTACTGCAAGGTGGGCTAATTTTCTTATTTGTTATTCATTTTTTCAATTTATTTTCATTTAACAGCGTGGTTTTGTCTTAGTCTGGTCAGTATTTTAAGTCCGTTTTTGTCATTTTGTTGTAGTCTGGTCAGTATTACAAGTAAGTTTGCAATAAGTATTTAGAAGTGGTTGTAGGTTAGTGGGTGGAGTGGTGTTATTACGTCCGAGGTGGTGGGAGCTGGAGTATGTCGAGTCTGGAAATGTGTAGTCAGGTTTGTATGTCACTGGCGAGTCGTAAGTGCTTTCTGAAGTGCTGATGATTGATCCTCCCGGAAGCCGTATTGAGTCGGTTGTGACTGTCAATTATAGGATTCAGTTGATGATGGATGGTTTGGTCAAAAACTTTGCTGATGATGAAAAGAGGCTGATTAATCAGTGATTATTTGGGTCTCTGCTTTTATGGTGCTTCAGTATCATCTTGGCTGTCGCGTGTTTGTCGTTTGTGCCGTATTAGGGAAAGGATGTAGAAGGGGAGTTGGATTTTGGATAAGGGAATTGAGGTAGTGGATATTTATAGGGATCTGTTAACTTGGAGATTGAAATGTTCTATGGACTTGTCTATATCGGATATCAGTTTCTAGGGCACGTGGGTATTTAATTTTCTTGGATATAAGGTATTGTAATATTTCCAGTCTATGGTGATTTCACGGGATATAGGTATAGGGACATAGAAGAGGGAGTTGATGGTGAAGATGACAGGAAGGTGGTCGGATTCTAGTTCGTAATTTGGATATGGAATGGTTATGGCTAAGGAATCGGAGTGGATAACTATGTCAAGGATATCATGGGGGAGGTCACTTAATAAGTGGGTAGGTTTTGAAGAACCGGCTAAAGTCACGTTTCGTATGTCATATCGTAGGTCTCGTCCAGCATTTATAGTCCGTCTGCATCCCCATGCCGCGTTTTTTTTAATTTAAGTATCGGCGATAATAGTTTTGTCAGTCAGTAGAGCGTCAAGGTCAGAGTGGAGTAAAGGAGCGCTTGGGGTCTTGTAGGAGGAGATACTTGTTATGGGGCCTTAAGGGGTTGACAGTTCAATGCGGGTGTTTTCTATGTGAGATGTGCACCTAGTAGCAATATTTTTCGACGTAGAGAAAGCGTATGACACTATCTGGGGGTACGGCATTCTTTGCACCTTGCATTCTTGGGGCCTTAGGGGACGACTCTCTTTCTTTCTAGATTTTTGTTCGTCAAGATCTTTCCGCGTTCGCCTTCGTGACAAGTTATCCTCAAGTTACGCTTTAGAAAACTGTGTTCACGAAGGATCAAGTCTGAGTGTCACTGTACCATTGCTATCAATACTGTCGCATCGGTAATTCGAGAGCCTGTGAAAGCATCGCTCTTTGTTGATGACTTTGTCATATTCTGCTCGTTGAAGAGCATGCAAGTTATTGCGAGGCAGTTACAGCTTGTCCTCTACAAATTGTAAGAATGGAGCGATAAAACTGGATTCAAGTTCTCCATCTCAAAATGTAGTTGCACGCACTTCTATAGAATATAATATCTCCATAATAATTCTTCGTCAAATCTGCTACTTTTCGTGGCCTCACATTCGACAAGAGTTTAACATGGTGAAAGCACATTCAAAACGTGAACAGTCGTGTATCGCCATTGAACCTCCTTCGCACCCTTACTGGTAGATCATCTTTCATAATCTCGCGCTTTTTACAAATTTATTTTTATTTATCTATCTTTAACTTTACTCATCTTTCAATTATTTATATTTAAAATGATGGAAAGGGATCCTGGAACTCAAAAAAACTTGCGCAGATGATCTTCTCCCCCATATCAAATGTCAAATAGTCCCCCATGTCAAATAGTTTTAAATGTTTTTGACTAAATAAATCTAAAATTACGCCCTCTAAACGTTGGGTAATCAGAATACACGTTCTATGGGTTCTTGTTAGTGGGTTGAGCACGTGTTGAAAGTTTACCTCTACGAGTATATTTTGTTAAAGTCGGTTCTGTCACAGCATCCGCCACTACCAAAATCTACAGGCACCCTACGCACAAACATTAAAACTATTAACAGATTCTACGCTCACCTTCCCATAAAACGAATAAAACTGCTCGGTTTCCTGTTCACAGAGCCCAAAGGACGTTGCATTTATAGCTTTTGCTTCTAGTCATCTGCCAATAAAGCTGTCGGAACTGGACTGGTATAATGGTTCTTGGCCGCCATTATTCGATGCCTTCGCGAGAATGGCTTATTTTAAAACAGTACCCCTCCTCTGTCAATCGTTCGTTCTCTCTCTCCCTTTCCCCCCTCTCTCTCACTCTACCGTTCTCTCTCTCTCCCTCCCTCTCTATCTCTCCTCTCTACATTGCGTTATGCATTATAACAAAAGAAGCATTGCAAGCGTTGACCAAAGAAGTTGCATAATATATCAAAGAGTGTAGACTAGTGGTGGGACATTTAAACCACAATACTAGTCAAGAGTATAACAAATCTACATAGGTTCTGTGTCTTTCCGCGATGAGTATGCAGCCAGGTATTTTGAATCGGCTTTTCTTGATAATGTGAGAAATATCTTAAAACTGTATTTGTTATAAGCATAATATATATCTAAATTACCCCAAGATATGACTTCTTTTTAGCGAATTTCTTTCCTGTCGCCTCTCCAACATTTTCCATCAATTCTTGCCAGCGTTATGGGTTTAGTAAGGAATAATGGTTAGTGCCTCACATACATATAAAATCTGTTTATCACAGTTGGAAAATGCAATCTTTTCTGTTTCTAGGCTGCCATTTTGGCGCTTCTTCAATATGATGTGAAAATAATGTGAGAAAGTCAAAAAAGGGTGTTCCTTATTTTTGCCTATATTCATTTAAAAATAAAGTTTTAAAATTTGGAACAAGAACGAGTAGAAAAAAAGTATTGAAATGTAGTTGTAGATATGTTGTTTTCCCGCCATACTACAACTACTACCACCACGACCACTACAACTACTACC